GGGGCTGGAGGGGCGGGGCTGGAGGGGCGGGGCTGGAGGGGCGGGGCTGGAGGGGCGGGGCTGGAGGGGGTTCTTGAGCCCAAGACTTGCACAAACTTGAGCTCAGGGTCCAGGAAAGTGCAAGCCCGTTAAGGAAGGGGCTTAGCTCCCTCAGTTCTGTGGCTCAGAGGTTCACAGGTCCTTCTAAGTCAGGCTACCAGACCATTACCCTCCTACTGTGACCAAGTTACCTTAATAGCAATCTGTGAGCTAGGTTTGGATCTTTAAAAAAATGTTATTGGGGGATAATGTGCATCCGATGAACCACACCATCTGAAGTGCCTTTTAGAGCATTTTAGTGCTTTTTGAACTTTGGAGACATGCATGAAGCTACCGAATATGTAAAGGTCCAGATGCTGGACATTTCCATCACCTCTCCCCACCCCCAAATTGCCTCGTACCTCTCTGGACGCCCTGTCTCCCTCTGCCTCACCTCTGGCAGCCTTTGAATATAGCAGGAAGCTTTGAATTTGCCCTCAGACCCGTTGAATAGGCGTTCCAAGCTAGAACAAGACGGTGTGGATCGTTGACCTGTGGTCACCACCCCCCACCCAGCCCCTGGTGGTGTCAGGACAAGGGGGCTTTGCACGTTCCAATGTGGACGCCCCAGCCCACACGTCCACACGTCCACATCTGTCTTACCATCCCAAACAGCAGCCACTCCTTAGTGACCTTCAGAATCCTGCACAGACTTGGAAAAGGACTCAGGGTTGGTTGAGTAGGAAACTTTGGGGTCCCAGGTTCCCAAAGTCATAGCTAGAAAGAGTGTTGGGGGGTCTCCAGGTCATTTCTTGCACTGTGAGGAAGGGGGTAAACGAAGCAGGATCTTCTAAAGCCTGGGGACCACCACCGTCCCCAGTTGCCTGGTCTTGTGAGGGTAGTACCTGCCTCTCCCCTTTTCCCATCCGGGGACTTACAACCTCGTGCAGGAAATAAAGCAAGACCATAAATAATGGTTGGACTACAGAGCTCCTCCATCAGGACCTGGGCTGAGCTCTTGATCTGCAGGATACATTCGTCTTCGCCAAATCTCTGCCCAGTGGGTGTTGTTACCCTGCCTGTAAAGTAGTCAGTACGGGCTGCCTCAGAGAAGTCTTGTGACCTGCTCAAGGCACACAGGTGGCAGAGTCAGGGTTCCCACACGCACCTGCTCACCTGTGAACCCTCTAAGTTGAATTCGCCGTGGTCAGGTCGGCAGGCGTGGGGGTGAGCTGCGGGCTGTGGGCTGGGGAGATCCAGAGAAGGGTCTGGCCTAGCTGACCTGCCTGGCCCTGCAGGGGCCCACCTGGACCGCCTGGTGCCCCTGGTGGAGGAGTTTTGCAACCTGGATGACGATGAGCTGCGGGAGTCTTGCCTCCAAGCCTTTGAGGCCTTCTTCAGGAAGTAGGTGCCGCAGGGAGAGCTGGAAACAGGGAGTGGGGTGAGGGGGACGTTGGTGGGGAATGGAGCTAAGATACTGGCTTCGCAGTGGTAAGATTCCAAGACCCACTCCTGGGCCCCACCCTCAGGTGTCCCAAGGAGATGGACCCTCATGTGGCCAACGTGACCAGCCTCTGCCTCCAGTACCTCAAGCACGATCCCAACTATAACGACAACAGCGACGAGGACGAGGAGCAGATGGAGACCGAGGACAGCGAGTTCAGTGAACAAGGTGGGCGGATGCCCTGTCCTGGGGGTTGGAGGTGGGCATGACCTTCCCAGGATGCCCCTGCCATAGACAAGGAGGGGGATCAGGCTCAGCTCTTCACAGGCTGCATCTACACATTCAGCCCACTGTGGGTCGAAAGTACTTGAAAAATTAGCCAGAGGCGGTGGCATGTGCCTGTCATCCCAGCGGCTCGGGAGGCTGAGGCAGGAGGATCTCAGGAGGCTGAGGCAGGAGGATCTCGAGTTCAAAGCCAGCCTCCGCCAAAGCGAGGCCGTAAGCAACTCAGTGAGACCCTGTCCCTGAAGAAAACACAAAATAGGGCTGTGTGTCTTGTCCCCACCCCAGAGAGCGAGGACGAGTACAGTGACGACGATGACATGAGCTGGAAAGTGCGCCGGGCGGCGGCCAAGTGCATAGCGGCCTTGATTGGCTCCAGGCCCGACCTGCTGCCCGATTTCCTCTGCACCCTGGCGCCCGCCCTCATCCGCCGCTTCAAGGAGCGGGAGGAGAACGTCAAGGCCGACGTCTTCGGGGCCTATATCGTGATGCTGCGGCAAACACGGCCCCCCAAGGGGTGGTTGGAGGCTGTCGAGGAACCCACCCAGACAGGGAGCAATCTCCACATGCTGCGAGGACAGGTGGGTCACGCCTCTGCCCGCTCACCTGCTCACCATCTGCCTTCCCATCCTCCCGCCCACCCCACTGTCCACCTGGCTGCTGTTCTGTGCATGGATCTGTGTGCGAGGTGCTGGGACCCAGCAGGAACCATGCAGATCAAGTCCCTAACCACTGGGCTGCACAGTCTTGTGTGGGTGTCGGGGGGTAGTGGGTACCAGGGATTGAATTAGGGGACACTCGGCCACTGAGCCCCATCCCCAGCCCTATTTTGCATTTTATTGAGAGACAGGGTCTCCCGGAGCTGCTTAGGGCCTCGCTTTGGCTGAGGCTGGCTTTGAACTCTTGATCCTCCTGCCTCAGCCTCCCAAGTCTCTGGGATGACAGGCGTGCCCCATAGCGCCTGGCTCCGGAGTGTGCTTTATTCTAGCAGGAGGCAGAGCTACAGGAGGGGAATAAGGTCCAGTTTGCATTTGAAAAAGCTCATTTTGGCTGCTGCGTGGGGAATGGATTGTAATGAGACCAAAGTCAAGGCTAGAAACCAACCAGAAGTCGTTACAACTGTCCAGGTGACAAGAGACAGTGATGGACTTAGTGCCAGCAGAGAGCCTAGAGAAGTAGGTTGGGGGTTGAATCATTGGGTCTTGCTGATTGATTGGACCAACGAGTGTCATGTGACTTTCAGGTTTCTGGCTAAAGCAGAAGTGCTTTTCCCTGGGAAGGGGGAGAATTGGTAGAGGAGGGTTATATTTAAACTTCTACATGTTTATGTTCAAAGTCTTCATTGTCTGGCTCTAATAGTCTGGTTTCCGTTCCTATAACAAAATACTGAAGGCTGGGTACCTACTAAAGAAAAGAAGTTCAGGTATGGTGGTGTTATCCCAGCTACTCTGGAGGCTGAGACAGGAGGATCCCAAGTCCAAGGCCAGCCTGGGCATTGTAGCAAGACCCTGTGTCAAAATAAAAAGGGCTGGGGATGTAGCTCAGTGGTAGAGTAATCCCCAGTACTTAAGTTTTAAAAAGTTAATTTAGCCAGGCACGGTGGCACACGCCTGTCATCCCAGCAGCTCAGGAGGCTGAGGCAGGAGGACCACAAGTTCAAAGCCAGCCTCAGCAACAGCAAGGTGCTAAGCAACTCAATAAAATACAAAATAGAGCTGGGGAGGGGGCTCAGTGTTTGAGTGCTCCTGAGTTCAATCCCTGGTACCAACCCCCAGCCCCCCACCTCCAAAAAATATATATATATTTAGCTCAGTGGTTTGGAGATAGAAAGTCCAAACAGTGAAAATACTTTGTGCGCAACCAGTGACTTGAACGATTGCTGTCTATGTGCAATATGAAATGAATTGCATTCTGTCATCAGGGATAACAAATGAGAATAAATAATAATTTAATAAAGAAAAAAAAAAAAAGAAAGAAAGTCCAAACAGCAAACAGCACAGTCCCGGCTCTGGGGAGGGCTCCCCTAGCTCCCCTGCTTCCCCCTCATGACCGGTAGCAGCCACAGGCCGACTTCCTGGGTGACCTGGAGCTGGTTACATTAATGGACACCAGAATCGCCCGTACCTCTGCCGGTCTGTGTGTCCATCAGTCCAGCACTCAGCGCTTTAGGAAGGCATCCTGTCCTCGCTGGGCATCTTCCCTCGGGATGCACCTGGGCCAAGCCCCGTGGGAGTGGGTGGGCTGGGATGGTTTCCTGGGTGGCCCCTGACCGCCCCCCCCACCTCCTGCCCACAGGTGCCCCTGGTCATCAAGGCCCTGCAGCGACAACTGAAGGACCGCAGCATCAGGGCCCGGCAGGGCTGCTTCAGCCTTCTGACCGAGCTGGCCGGCGTCCTCCCTGGCAACCTGGCGGGGTACATGCCGGTACTGATGTCAGGTAGGCTGGGCGGGCCCCGGGGGTCTTCCTCTGGCCTCTTCCAAGGCCCTGAGTTGGTGGCTTCAGCCCCGAGGGGAGCCTGGGCCCCGGTCTCAGGCTGAGCCCCTGTTCAGCTCCTCCCGGGCAGAGGGGGAGAATGTTCCAGGCCTGACTTGCTGCTTTCTAGAAAGTTCCCTGGCCTGGGGTCCCTCCGCCCTGGCTACTGGCCAATCCATGACCACTTGGGAACTTGTGCATAAGGGGCCTCTGTGGCTACTCCATCCCGTGGAGGGTCACGTGCATGACCCCGTGATCTCTGTGCCCAACTTGCAGGCATTGTCTTCTCGATTGCTGACCGCTCCAGCTCCTCCACCATCCGGATGGACGCCCTGGCCTTCCTGCAGGGGCTGCTGGGTACAGAGCCTGCCGAGGCCTTCCACCCGCACCTGCCCACCCTCCTGCCCCCTGTGATGGCCTGCGTGGCCGACCCTTTCTACAAGATGGCAGCCGAGGCCCTGCTGGTGCTCCAGGAGCTGGTGCGCACCCTGTGGCCCCTGGACAAGCCTCGGATGCTGGACCCTGAGCCCTACGTGGGAGAGATGTCCGCAGCCACCCTGGCACGGCTCCGTGCGACCGACCTGGACCAGGAGGTCAAGGAACGGGCCATCTCTTGCACGGGCCACCTGGTGGGCCACCTAGGTGACCGTCTTGGGGATGACCTGGAGCCCACGCTATTGCTTCTCCTGGACCGCCTGCGCAACGAGATCACCCGGCTGCCCGCCGTCAAGGCTCTGACCCTGGTGGCCAGGTCCCCATTGCGCCTGGACATGCAACCCATCCTGGCCGAGGCGCTGCCCATTCTGGCCACCTTCCTGCGCAAGAACCAGCGGGCACTGCGGCTGGCCACCCTGGCCGCCCTGGACGCCCTGGCGCAGAGTCAAGGACTCCACCTCCCGGGCTCTGCTGTGCGTGTGGTGCTGGCCGAGCTGCCGGCGCTGGTCAGCGAGAGTGATATGCACGTGGCCCAGCTGGCCGTGGACTTCCTGGCCACGGTGACCCAGGCCCAGCCGGCCTCTGTGGCCGAGGTCAGCGGCCCGGTGCTGGCGGAGCTGCTGCGGCTCCTGCGATCGCCTCTGCTGCCCGCGGGGGTGCTGGTGGCCGCCGAGGGCTTCCTGCAGGCGCTGGTGGGGACGCGGCCACCCTGCGTGGACTACGCAGAGCTCATCGACCTGCTCATCGCGCCCGTTTATGACCCAGAGGGTGGTGGCGCTCCAGCGCTGGCCAAGCAGGCCTTCCACTCCCTGGCGCGCTGCGTGGCCGCCCTGTCCAGCGCCTGTCCCCAAGAGGCGGCGGCCACCGCCCATCGCCTGGTGTGCGACGCTCGATCGCCGCACTCGAGCACCGGGGTCAAGGTGCTGGCCTTCCTGTCGCTGGCAGAAGTGGGCCAGGTGGCCGGGCCGGGTCCCCAGCGGGAGCTGAAGGCGGTGCTGCTGGACGCGCTGGGGTCCCCCAGCGAGGACGTGAGGGCGGCCGCGTCGTACGCGCTGGGCCGAGTGGGCGCGGGCAACCTGCCCGACTTCCTGCCCTTCCTGCTGGCGCAGATCGCGGCCGAGCCCCGGCGACAGTACCTGCTGCTGCACTCGCTGCGGGAGGCCCTGGGCGCCGCGCAGCCCGACGCCCTGAAGCCCTACGCCGAGGACGTGTGGGCGCTGCTCTTCCAGCGCTGCCCCGACGCCGACGAGGGCACCCGCGGGCTGCTGGCCGAGTGCGTGGGCAGCCTGGTCCTCGTCAACCCCCCGTTCCTGCTGCCCCGCTTCCGCAAGCAGCTGGCGGCAGGTAAGGGACAGAGGCCACCCTGCCCGGAGGTGGCCCTTCCTCGGTCCCCGGGTGTCCATGCAGCCGATGCACAGGGGGACCCTTTCCCCAGGTCCCAGTGTCTCTGTGATCAACTCCGAGGAGCCACAGAGGGACTTTGCTGGGACTTGGAGGTCTCTTCTTGCTGGAGAGAGAGGGACACAGAGCACAGACCTCCCAGACCCCTCCTGACGCATGCGCCGTCAGCCCTCCCCATCTGCAAGCTCCACCCCTGCATTTTATTTAATTTATTTTTAATTATTTATTTTTTTAAAACACTTTGAGATCGTTTTAATGACTCTCATTGGACACCATACCTTTATTTTATTTATTTATCTTTATGTGGTGCTGAGGATGGAACCCAGGGCCTCACCTGTGCCAGGTGAGCGCTCTACCGCTGAGCCACAACCCCAGCCCCTTATTTTAATTTTTTAAATATATTTATTTTTTAGTTGTAGATGGACACAGCACCTTTATTTTATTTTTATGGGGTGCTGAGGATCGAACCCAGGACCTCACACACATGCTAAGCAAGAGCTCCGCAGCTGAGCCACCATCCCAGCCCAAACCGTCTCTGTATTTTAAACCAACCTTGGATGGGAAATATTTGGGGATTAAAAACAAAATTGCATCTGTACTGAACATGTACAGACGTCTCCCCCTGTCTTTATTTCCTGAACAATACAGTCCGGAAAATTTCTGGACTTATATTGGATATCTCTCAGGGACCCTGAGGAATCTACAGAGGATCGAAAATTCAGGGGAGGGCCAGGCCGGGTGGCCCTGCCTTTCATCCCCAGCCATCCATCTGTGAGCCCAGTGATTTGGAAGGCAAAGGCAGGAGGATCACCAGATCCTCAGCACCACCTAAAAATCAACAAAGAAAGGCACGCTGTCCATCTACAACTACCAAAAAAAAAAAAAAAAAAAAGTTTTTTTAAACAAGGTGTGATATTTGCACATAACCTACCTACATCTTCCCTAGGCTCATGATCCATTATTATTATTTGTGTGCATGTGTGTGTCAGGGGGCAGTACCAGGGATTGAAGCCGAGGTGCTCGACGCCTAAGGTACACAGCACTTTTTTATTTTTATTTTGAGAAAAGGTCTCACTAAATTGCTTACGGCCTCATTTTTGCTGAGGCTAGGTTTGAACTCGCCATCCTCCTGCCTCAGCCTCCTGAGCTGCTGGGAAGACACCCGGCTGGTCTTGTTTTTCTTATTTTCAATTTTTGGAATCCCAAGCAAGCCATGCAGAGACATGCCAAAGTCTCTCCTCATGCCATTCTTTCATTCATTCTTTAAGGAAAACCTACTTCCTCCTCTTTCTTCAGCCTTCCCCCACGGAAAGCAAGGGACAAAACCAAATGAAGGCAGGTCTTCCTTCCCAGGCTTGGGGTTGGTCTCAATTCCGTTGGAATCCCCTTGGCCTCCGGGCTGCCTAACCTTGGAGGAACACAGCCGCACCTTGGAGAAGGCAGACTCAGTGGAGGAGAGCCTGGCCAGGAATTCTGGATCTGCTGTGTGGCCTTCGATATGAACTTAACCTCTCTGAGTCTTTCTTTTTTTGTTGTGTTAAAAAAAAAAATCAATCATCCTCTTTAGTTACCATTTTCATCAAGATCTTATTTTTTAGTTGTTAATAGGACCGTCCTCAGGATGAATGGAGATAGTATGTCTGAAAGGCATAATGTCATCTCAAGGCCACAGGGAAAGGTCTTTCTTTGGGGAACACTAACATGACTTCCCCAGCCATGCAAGAGTGGGGGTCTCTGGAGTGGGGACCCAGTGCCTGACCTTCACTGAGCTGCGTGTCCCTGTCACCCAGGTCAGCCACATACCCGAAGCATGGTCATCACCGCGGTCAAGTTCCTCATCTCGGACCAGCCCCATCCCATCGACCCCCTCCTGAAGAGCTACATTGGTGAGCGCTGTCCCCACCCTTCATCCCGCCCGGTCCCCCACACAGCCCTTGACCTTGGACTGATTGATGTTCCTTCTCTAGCCAAGGGCAGCCAGAGACCCAAAGGCCACCTCATCCCCATGTCGGACATCAGGGCCCTGGGTTCCATCCCCAGCACCCCTCCCCCCTCCCATTTTTGGGGAGCACCTCAGACTCTCTGAGGCTCCCGTAGCTCCGTGGAACATTCTGGAATGGAAGCCCTGCCTTCTGAGCTTTGAGGGTGCTTAGACCTGGCACAAAGTAGTTGCTCACTGCGTCCATCGCATCCAGCCAGGTCTGCACCGCTCACGGTCACCAGGGGGCAGGGGGTTTTGTCTCTGGCTCTGTGTCTCTCAGGCCCCCCCTCGCTGTCCCTTTGCAGGAGAGTTCATGGAGAGCCTGCGGGACCCGGATCTGAACGTCCGCAGGGCCACCCTGACCTTCTTCAACTCGGCCGTGCACAACAAGCCCTCGCTGGTGCGGGACCTGCTGCAGGACATCCTGCCCCTGCTCTACCAGGAGACCAAGATCCGCCGGGACCTGATCCGAGAGGTGCCGAGCAGAGCTGGGCCGCCTTGTTAGTTCTGTCCCCCCCCCGGGGGGCCTGGGACGGAGTCCGCCTCTCCGGCCTCCATAGGGCCTCACTAAGTGGCTGAGGCTGGCCTCCAACTTTCGGTCCTCCTGCCTCAGCCTCCGGAGCTGCTGAGATGATAGGTGTGCGCCATGGTGCCTGGCCCAAAATTCAAATTTTGAAAGGCTTCAAATTGTAACAACAGGATGTCACCAATGGAAAGTTCCACCCCTGACCTGGTGTCCAAACACAAGGGACACCACAAATAGTGTATAAAATTGCCTTTAGGCTGTGTGAGTAAGGTGTCTATGGAAGAGCAGTGAATTTCGTGATTAGACTTGGGATCCACCCCCAAGGTAGCTCCTCACGGATGTGCAAGTATCCCAGAATCCCAAACACCGCTGGTCGTCAGCATTTTGGATAAAAGATGCTCTGCCGGTAGATGCTGGTGACTCTAGGCTGCCACTCGACATTCAGGAGTGGAATCTGAGTGACAGAATCCACAGGTGATCCTGATGTGGTTTCTGTCTCCAAAGAGCTGATCATGGCCTCCTGTAAGAGCCATGCCCACACTGTGGGTTACGTAGCCTATTGGCAGCCCTTAAAAGCAGAGTCTTGCCAGGAGCAGTGGCACACGCCTGTAATTCCAGCAACTGTAGAGGCTGAGGCAGGAGGATCGCCAAGTTGGAGGCCAGCCTCAGCCACTTAGTAAGACTCTGTTTCAGACTAAAAAAAATTTAAAAATAAAGGAAAAAATTCTGGGGATGAATTTCAATGGTAAATTGCACTGGGTTCAATCTCCAGTTAAAATAAAAAAGAAAGTTAGCCAGATGCAGTGGTATCTGTCTGCAATCCCAGTGGCTGAAGGACCACTATGGCATCTGGAGGCTGAGGCAGGAGGATCACGAGTTCAAAGCCAGCCTCAGCAAAAGCGAGGTGCTAAGCAACTCAGTGAGTCCCTGTCTCTAAATAAAATACCAAATGGGGCTGGGGATGTGGTCAGTGGCCGAGTGCCCCTGAGTTGAATTCCTGGTACCCGGCCCCCCCAAAAAAAGCAAAGGAAAGAAAAATATTTTATTTTTTTATTTTTTTTTATGTGGTGCTGAGAATCGAACCCAATGCCTCACACATGTTGGGCAAGCGCTCTACCACTGAGCCACAGCCACAGCCCTACCCCAGGACCTGGATTTTTAATCTTAGGCTGTGTCTCCTTGGGCAAATTAATTAACCTCTCTGAGCCTTAAATGGGGTAAAGGATAGCGTCTTCTTCCTCAAACATTTGCAGTGCTTGAGGAAGACGTCAACTATGTGGCTCAGCTGTAGAGTGTGTGTGTGAGACCCTGGGTTCAGTCCCCAGCACCCCCACCCCCAGGCGTCATTCACCAGGGACTCCCAGTGTCTGCGTGGTGGATGAAATCAACGGTTCTTTTTACTGTGATCATTATCTGGGGAAAGGGCGCTGCAGCCTGAGACTCGGGATTTGGGGTCAGCATCTGAGGGTGGGGGGCTGGTGGTCTTCCACGTGGGGGCCACATCCCCCCAACTTATGTTGTCCTTCCCTCCCGCAGGTGGAGATGGGGCCCTTTATGCACACGGTGGACGATGGGCTGGATGTTCGGAAGGCGGCCTTCGAGTGCATGTACTCGCTGCTCGAGAGCTGCCTGGGCCAGCTGGACATCTGTGAGTTCCTGAACCACGTGGAGGACGGGCTGAAGGACCACTATGACATCCGGGTAGGTGTGAGCCCTCTCCCCCGCTCAGGAAACCAAGGCAGGAGGATCACAAATTCAAGGCCAATCTCAGCAACTTAGTGAGGCCCTATCCCCAAGCAAAAGGACTGGAGATGCAGCTCAGTGGTAAAACACTCCTGGGTTCAACTCCTGGTACCAAACAAATTAAAAAAATCAATCAATCAATCAAAAGAAAGACAAAGAAAAAAAGAAAGAGCCTATTATTCCAGGAGGCTGAGGCAGGAGGATGGCAAGTTTGAGGCCAGCCTCTGTCATTTAGCAAGGCTCTATGCAACTTACCAAGACCCTGTCTCAAAATGAAGGATGAAAAATAAAGGGCTGGGGAGGTGGCTCAGTGGTAGAGGACCCTGGGTTCCATTCCCAGTACTAAAAAAAGAAAAGAAATACAGTAATGTTGGACCACATCCCCACATTCCCACTGTATCAGGCTGTTTTCTGCTGCTGTAACAAAATACCTGAGCCTGAGCCTGGATACAAAATACCTGAACTTTTTAAAAAAAGAGGTGGGGACCATGATAGTGTGTGGTGATTCCAGCTACTCAGGAGGCATGTGGCTCAGCAGTAGAAAGCTTGCCTAGCATGTAATCCATCTGTCCATCCATCAGTAATATTTAGCTGACCCTTCTGGAGGTGCGGAGGATGGTGTTGGCATCCCCTTGGCTCTGGTGAAACTTCATAGCTGGGGGCTTCACAGTGCCAGAGATAGATGCCTAAGAGTTCAAATGGTAAAGCAGGAAAGGAGAGCTGATCATGGCCTCCTGAAAGAGAGCCACGCCCACACAGCGGATTACGTCACCTATGGGCAGCCCTTAAAAGCAGAGTCTTGGCAGGAGCAGTGGCACATGCCTGTAATTCCAGCAACTGGGGAGGCTGAGGCAGGAGGATTGCCAAGTTGGAGGCCAGCCTCAGCAACTTCGTGAGACCCGAGCTTGGTTTTTGTTTTGTTTTATGGTACTGGGGATTGAACTCCAGGGATTGAACCCCAGTCCTTTTTATTTATTTATTTATTTTTGAGACAGGCTTCCTTTAAGATGCTGAGGCTGGCCTTGAACTTGGAATCTTCCAGCCTCCGCCTTGTGAGCAGCCAGGATTACAGGAGTCTGCCCCCATGCCTGGCCTGACTTGCTTTTTATCACTCCCTCCCTGTGGAACGAACCAGGGTCCTCTGCTAACTACATGAAGCCCTTGCAAGGAAACTGCTCCCAATGACCTAAATACCTCCCATTAGGCCCCGCCTCTTAAAGGCACACTACCTCTCAACACTGCCACATCCAGGTTCGAGCTTTCAGTCCATGATTCTTTAAGGGACACACTCCAACCTTCTCCAAGTGCCGGCAGCCACCCTAGATACCAGGAGCCGGAGCTGGGTCCCTGCTGTGTTGGGACTTCTGCTCCTGCTCCTCTTCAGGCCCTCTCTGGCTTCTTTACTTACCGACAGGCTCTGGGGACCCCAGGAGCATCTGAACTTGAGAGCCCACCTGTCCCCTGGCACCTCTTTTCATCCACCCCTCCTCAAGGCCAGCCAAGTGTACTGGATAGAAGTTTAGTGTCACTCGTCACATGTTGTGGATGAGGAAACCGAGGCCCAGACAGCGAGCCACTCAGGCAGGGTCCTGTGGGGACTTGGTTTCACCCTGGGCCCCAGGTTTGGGGTACAGAGTGTCTCCTCGTGCTCTGGGCCCGCTGTTTTTGTTCTTGGGCAATTTCACTAAGAACGCTCTGTCTCCTTCCTTCTGGGCAGATGCTCACCTTCATCATGCTAGCACGGCTGGCCACCCTGTGTCCTGTGCCTGTCCTGCAGAGGGTGGACCGGCTCATTGAGCCACTGAGGGCCACCTGTACCGCCAAGGTAAGCCCCTTTCCCAGCCCGAGCCTGGATCACCTGGTGGGTCACCTGCAAATCACTCAGTTTCCAGTTACTGAAAGGGCCGTCGTCCACCCCTCTCCATCGCCCCCGGCCAGGAGCTTCCTGTGCTGACCATCTCACATGCAGAGGGGCCAAGTTGTGGGTCAAGACGACACAACGAAGAAATCCCAGAGCCAGACTCCTAGGCCCCTTAGTGAGACCCTGTCTCAAAAAGGAATATTAAAAGGGGCGGGTTGTATATATTCACACTAATTCATGTCTTTATACATGTACTTTGGATAATAATGATCCTCGTGTTCCACCATCATTAATAACCCCCTACCCCTCCTTTCCCCTCCCTCCCCTCTGCCCTATCTAGAGTTCATCTATTCCTCCCATGCTCCCCATCCCTCCCTACCCCACTATGAGTCAGCCTCCTTATATCAGAGAAAACATTCGGCATTTGATTTTTTGGGATTGGCTAACTTCACTTAGCGTTATCTTCTCCAACGCCATCCATTTACCTGCAAATGCCATGATTTTATTCTCCTTTATTGCTGAGTAATATTCCATTGTGAATATATGCCACATTTTCTGAAGGGTATCTAGGTTGGCTCCACAGTTTAGCTATTGTGAATTGTGCTGCTGTAAACATGGATGTGGCTGTGTCCCTGTAGTATGCTGTTTTTAAGTTCTTTGGGTATAGACCAAGGAGAGGGACAGCTGGGTCAAATGGTGGTTCCATTCTCAGATTTCCAAGGAATCTCCATACTGCTTTCCATATTGGCTGCACCAATTTGCAGCCCCATCAGCAATGTATGAGTGTGCCTTTTCCCTACATCCTCTCAACACTTGTTGTTTGTGTTCATAAGAGCTGCCATTCTGACTGGAGTGAGATGATATCTTAGAGTGGTTTTGATTTGCATTTCTCTAATTGCTAGCAATGATGAACATTTTTTCATATATTTATTGACTGATTATATATCATCTTCTGAGAAGTGTCTGTTCAGGTCCTTAGCCCATTTATTTGATTGGGTTATTTGTTTTTTTGATGTTTAGCTTTTTGAGTTCTTTATTTACCCTAGAGATTAGTGCTCTGTCTGATGTGTGAGGGGTAAAGATTTGCTCCCAGGATGTAGGCTCTCTGTTCATCCCACAGATTGTTAAACACTGTTTTTCGAGTAGCAAACCTGTTCCAGAGCCGGGCGTGGTGATGCACACCCAGTGGTTTGGGAGGCTGAGGCAGGAGGATCCCAAGTTCATGGTCTGGGCAATTTAATGAGACCCTGTCTCCAAATGACATTTCTTTTAAAAAAAGCATTGGGGGGTGCTGCAATTGCCTGTCATGTTGTGGGGCCCCAGGCCATGCCAGAATCAAACAACAAAACCTGAACTGGCTTGAGATGTGTTCAATCTTTAATCCCCTCTGACTGGACTATTCATAATTCTCATATATTAAATGGGAGAGATATTAAAATATTTGACTATCGGGTGTTCTTCCAGACCTCATGTCTGCAGCCTTATCTTTCTGTCAGTCCTCACAGCAGCTGTCAAGGGAAGACTGACTTACAGATGGGGGACGGAGGCCCAAAGAAGGGGTTACCTAAGCTCACCCTGTTAGAGGGCAGAGCCATTGAACCCAGGCCTGTGGACCTACAGGATTGTTTAGGGGTAGCGGCCAGCAATTAATTAGTAAGGTCAAGGTGGCTGGGTGTGGTGGTGCAGGCCGGTAATCTCAGTGACTGGAGAGGCTGAGGCAGGAGGATCCCAAGGTCAAGGTCAGCCTCAGCAACTGAGGAGACTCAGTCTCAAGATTTAAAACAACAAAAAAAGGAAGGAGTGCTGGGATGCAGGAGACCAGTTAGAATGAGGCCAAGATGCCAGACTGGAGCCTCAGGTGACTCTGAAGCCGCTGCAGGGACTGGCTTGAAGGTGGGGAGGACCAAAAGGGAGGCTGCCTCCTGGGTGGTGAGGCCAGGATTGAAGGACAGCTCCTCCCATTTTCCCCCACTGTAGGTCAAAGCCGGCTCAGTGAAGCAGGAGTTTGAGAAGCAGGACGAGCTGAAGCGCTCCGCCATGAGGGCCGTGGCCGCCCTGCTGACCATCCCCGAGGCGGGCAAGAGCCCCAGCATGGCCGACTTCTCGGCCCAGATCCGAACCAACCCCGAGCTCACCGTCCTCTTCGAGAGCATCCAGAAGGATTCCGCCTCAGCCCCCAGCACGGACTCCATGGAGCTCAGCTAGTTGTCCTGCTGCTCAGGAGAGGAGTCCAGCGAGCCCCGTCTCCCCCTCCGCTCCAAGACCGGGGCCTGACTTCTGTCCTTCATCTCATGGGGGGCTCTCGGGCCCGGGTTGGGGCTACAGTGCCTTCTCCAGGGACCCAAGCTCGCAGGCCCCCAGCCCCAACCGCGAGGCTGCCAACAGTGGGCCCTTTCACTCAGGATGTTGTTAGGGGGACAGTGTTTTCCAGTGACCTGTCACCCCTCCAGTTATTCTGGCTCCTTCAAACTGGGGAGTCCCTGCCTCACTCACCTGCACTCAGAAATGCATAGCATTCAGTCGCTGTCTCCCCTGGTGTCCCTGGCTCCCCACCCCCACCAGTCCTCCTCCTCTGGAAGTGATCTGGGGTCTCTGCTGCCATTCAGGTAGTGCTCTGGCCAAGAGTCTTAAGAATGGGGTGGCAGGTGAGTCATGGCTGTAATCCCAGTAACTGGGGAGGCTGAGGCTGGAGGATTCCAGGTTTGAGGCCTGTCCTCTGAGAAGTTAGCAAGGCCCTGTCTCAAATCAAAAAGGCTGGGGATGTAGCTCAGTGGCTGAGCACCCTCAGGTTCAATCCTCAATGTGGAAAAATATCAGGGTGGGGGTGTCAGCCGTAGGACATTCCTCCAGCACGTGAGGCTGTGGGTTCCATCCCTAGCACAACCCTCACTCCCAAAGAAACCAGTTCAGATACTTGAGTTATTCATTCTAAATTTCAAAAAATGAGTTAGAAGCAGTGAACCCCAAACTCAGAGGTATGAGGCTTTTTGTGCAGGGAGGATACACAGGACAGGGACCTGAAGGGTTGACCCTAATGTTTCATATCTACCTTCAAATGATGTAACCAAATCAGGAAACAGGAAAGTGCGAATCACTTTTCCTTCACCACTGAGGCATAACCAGTTTGTGTCCTGAAGATTTGAACTTCAATATTAGACTTTTAGTATTGAAGTTAAATAAAAACAGGCCAAAGCTTTTTTTTTCTGTGATATGCAAAGCTAATAAAGGATAGATCCTAAATTGCTACCAATTTCTCCTCACAATTCCTATTCCCAAAGCTGAACCCCATCTTCAATATCCTTCCCAAGTCCATCTAAAGAAACCCTGAAAAATGAGCAGTTTGTGCATCAACACCAACCTACAACACACTCACCTACTGGACCTCGTGGCTGGCACGCCCGGCAATAGCCTGTCTCTTGCGACCAGCATGCCAATCCTGCTAGATCAGCTGGGATAGAGGGGGGCGAAAGGCCTAGAACCATTTCTCAGTCTTGTCCAGGTACCAGGCAAGCAGGGCCACATGAAAATACTGTGTCTTGCAAAAGCAGAATCAAACCTTGTTGAGTACACAGAATTCAAGATTTTGAGCTTCATCACCCTAGTCTTATTGGGGACATCTTGTAAGAATTGTGCCTGACAGGCAGGATGCTGTGGTGCACACCTGTCCTCTCAGCTGAGGCAGAGGATCACGTGTTGTGAGGCCAGCCTGAGCAAGCCCCTACCAAGCAACTCAGACCCTGTCTCTAAATAAAAAACAAATCAGGGCTGGGATGTGGCTCGGTGGACAAGTGCCCCAGAGTTCAATCCCTGCTCACCCCCCCAAAACGTACGCAAAATTGCAGTTTCTTCATTCTCACGAGGGCAGGGCTAACATGACCACTTGGTCCGAGGCCAAGCCTTTCCTCCTCTTCCCCAGCCCCAACTACAGCTGACCCAGGCAACCCTGGGCTCCCCGTGCAAGGGCCTAGTGCCCCTGGCGAACCCCTTATCCAGAATCTTCCATTCATGGAGGATCACACAGGTGACAGGCCAAAGAATCACCTCTGTGACAAGCTGTCCAGTGAAGTCAAGAAAGCGAAACAAAACCAAGGCAGGAAAAGCCAGGTAGCAGCTTGCGGCTTTATTTAAGCACACAAAAAACGTGCGCGCGAACTGTCTATTCATTTTCTTCACTGCGCAGCCTGGCGTTGGGATTGGTGACTCTGATGGCCAGCTGGGCCGCTCTCTCCACGATGGCTTTGCGGTTCTTGGAGGAAACGTTGTGGGCGATCTCCGCACAGTAAGATCTGGAAGAGAATCAAGCACAGGAGTGAAGAGCAGGCCCAGCCCAGCAGGCACCTGGGAAATGCACTCGGGGGTGCTGAATGAGGTCCACAGATCCCCAAATCCTGGTGGGAGTCACTCTCCTAAGTCCTCACTATGGCCCCGTGAGCCACCTCCGTTTTAGATGAGGAAACCAAGGTCCACAGTGGTGGACGTGAATTCCCAGCTCACACAGCAAGAGACTGACACGTCTGGGAGGAAGCAGCCAGACTCCAGGTTCAAAGGCTGCCCCCACACCCCGGCTGACCCACCAACTCCAGAGTGCCACGGAGCTTGGCTTTGTCCATAGAGTCCTGGGACTTGCAAAGTGAGCAAGGGCAAAATCCAACAGTCTGAATAGAGCCAAGAGTCCCCAGTTGGATTACCGAGGACAGAGCCCACCAGCTGCACTTGGTACACTGTTCTAATCCGCCATTCCTCAGGGCTCTCAGAGCCATACTTTGAATGAGGACCCAAGCACTCCAACAGCAAGCAGTGAAGGCAGAGAGCTCCTGTGTCAGAGAGCAGGGCCTGATAGTCACGCCTAAATGCTTCCTTCTCAGGACATGTCTATTGTACTGCACTTTTCACCTGTCTTCATTTTCCTCAAATGCTTTAGGTCTTTGCCACCTGCATACACAATAGCCACAGTGGATGCACCTACTGTTTTAAGGTGCAGCACGTTTCCCTCACGGCCACACAGCCGTCAGTGAATGGCTGTCTTGACGCCTGGTCCCAGCACTCTGCCGCCTTTCCACATGTGTTCCAACTGTATACTGCCTCAACAACCAGCTATATAAGCTTCCCTGCTTCGGTTTTAAACACAAATGCCCAAAAATGGAGATTAAAAAAAAATATGCTGTACTTCAGGAGGTTAAATACTGCAGCTGCTCTTGGAAACAAGATGGTTTCAAACAAGATGGTGCACATGAGGCTCCTGGCCTCGGTCTCCAGTCAGTATCCCCACCCTGCTTAAAGAAAACCCTGTGTTTGGGTACTGAGTTGTAGCTGTCCACCTGGCCGGATGGTCATCGCCTGCCACTAAGGAGAGCTCTGGGAACGTGCACAGATGACACCAGTTAGCCACTCTCCCCATCTTCTCCACTCCCTCAAGTGTCAAGGGCCCCTCCCATGACAAACTGCTCATTTCCCTGCCGTAATCCTGACTGCAGCAGCCCAAGTCTCCCACGGAGCTTGCCCAAATGCCTAACTTGCATCAAAACCTAGAACCTAGCGCCTGTGTCCCTCCACGTGCCCTCCGCTTTGTGCAAGCCCTTCTCTCCGCCCATAGGCCTCTTCCCCAACTCCAGATGGCACCTGGCTCTAAAGCCCTGACCCAGGCAGGCGGCCGCTCTTCCACCTCAGTGGCCAGATAACTCTTGCCACAGCACAGATGGAGGTGTCCCCTAGGCCTGAGGTTGTGAGTGCTGCAGTGGAATGAGCAACCCCTCCGCACAATTGCTGCCCAAGACACGTAGACTCGTGAGCCCTGCAGCAGGAGGGACCAACTCACTTGTTACACATGAGCAGCACCTCCAGCTCCTTGACGTTATGCACCAGGAACTTGCGGAAGCCACTAGGCAGCATGTGCTTGGTTTTCTTGTTGCTCCCGTAACCAATGTTGGGCATCAAGATCTGGCCCTTGAACCTCCTCCGCACCCGGTTGTCGATCCCTCTGGGTTTCCGCCAGTTGCGCTGAAACAAGGAAGGTAAAGGTGGGTTGGTCTCTGGGCAAACTGCCAGCCTTTCTTTTCAAGGAGAACAAATGAAAGAGAAGATGCGAGACACTAGGTGCCCTTGGGTAACAGGACTTCCTCCTCCTTTGGTGGGGAGGGGAAAAAATTCCTAGATTTACCCACTGGAAGTGGAGACCCACACTCTGACTCCTAAGCAACAGGAAGGTCAAATAGAGCAGGCTGAGATGTGGGGGGGCTGTGTCTTTGGGGAGATGAAGGGCACGGGTGTCCTCACTGTTCTTAGGACATGAGTTTTCACAACCAAAAAACCAGGGACAATCTCTGTCTGCGTCTCAGCAGTTCTAAGTCCACCTCAAATATGTGGCATAAATCTAAAGCTCTTGAAAGGCCCAGGGCAGCCCAGGGTCTGTTATTTAAATTTAGTTTACTCAGCAGGAGCCCCAGTGAGACCTGGGGAGACCCCAGTTCCTATGCAGCGCTCTCAGGCCAACCACAAACCAGCTCACCTGTCAAAAGCTGCTTAGACCAGGTGAGGCCACACACAGTAACTCCCTCCTACACCCCAACACTCACACCCACCCCAGAACCACATACGTACCTTAATTTTGACATATCGGTCTGACTGGTGCCGGATGAACTTCTTGGTCCTCTTTTTGACGATTTTGGGCTTCACGAGGGGTCGGAGGGCAGCCATGGTGCCTAAAAAGAAAAGGAAGATCCCCGTTGAAGCAGAATCCTCCCGAGGGGCTCTTGCCCAGGGCTTGGCTGGGACCTGAGTGGTGTCGCAGAGTGTCTTCCAATCACCAGTTACTGAGCAAGCTGGGAATGGAATGGGTGCCTCTGCTAGGCTTGCTCTCCCTCCTGTTTCCGAAGCTGGCAGAATACTAGGCACTCTCCAGATGCGATCTCAGGAGGTCAGGGGTCACCTCAGCCACTCAGAGCCCCCCAGAACAGCTGACTGACATCAAAACAGAACCCAAGACCTTCTCACTTGCAAAGGATGGCAAACTCCCACACCCCGAAATCTCCCCACCCCCAGATCGTCAACCTTTTTCTCATTTACAAAATGTACAAGACATTGGCACATTGCATGCCTGCCCCGTGCCTGGCACAAAATAAATGTTCAACAAAACAACTCCTGAAGGGTGCTGCAGCCCCGATACCCTCAAAAGCATGCATAAAACCACTCTGCACCCCCAAAACCAGCCAACCTGAGAACCAGATTCTACCCAGGACTGTCAGTTACCGTCCCCAAGGTGGACTTCCCGGTCACCCCATCTCTCTCTACCACAATCCTGTCATTTTCACAGCCATCAATTCACTTTGTCCCCCACCGCACTAGGTGCCCCCTAGCACCACGCTCTCCTCGAAGGTAAGGGATCAGTGCCATTTTCCAGGGATCCCGACCCACTACGGGAGTTTGTTAATGACCCATCGAATGCACTCAAGGGTCATCTTTTTGTTGACAGTCGCTCAGGGCCACAGGATGGAAGCGAAGGGGCCTAGGACGCGACAATTAAATAAATGCACAAGGGCACTCTGGCCAGGGCGCGGTGACCCGCAGATCCCAGCTGAGCTGTCACCCGGGACTCGGGTCGCTCCACGGCCCCCAGAGACCGCGTAGTCTGGCCTCAACATGCACCATGAGCTGTCAGGGATCAATCAAGCGGTCCGCAGGTCCGACTGGCCCAAGGCGGCCTCCGTAAGAGAGCAAGCGGCCCTGGGAGGCAAAGCGCCATCACCGCACCAGGCCGCTTGGCTGTTCCCATGCACGTCCTAGGAGGCCGGCAGAGACAATACCCACAAAGCCGACCACGCAAAGGAGGCGGCCTTCTCACCAAGGGGTGAAAGGGCCCGGTGGTCACCCCCCAAATGCGGATGGCGAACGATGAAGACTCACCGAATACGAATGGCGGCCACCTCCGAAGGCAGCGCCGAGGAAGAGAGAGGAAGACGGCGCGCAAGGGCTGATGGGACGTAACCTGAGGGTCCTGGAAGGGAAAAGGTGGGCACTTCCGGCTCCGGGTCTTTCGAAGAAAATAAGGACGTGACAGAGAAATAACGCTACAAAAATGCCCAGTGCACCTGTGTTTTACTGGACATTAATATGTGGGAGTAGAAGTGAAAATGTATTTTCCCTTCCCTCCGGACTACATGGAAAATTTGGGAATGCTTTCAGAACCAAGACCTAGGACGGGGATCTACTTCCGCCAGAAATAGAAGCCAAAACCAGCTTTTAGACTATTTCCGTCCGCGTTTCTTCTCCCGGAAGTGCGCCTCCTAGTGGTCAGGAGGGAACAAAACAGTCACTTCCTAATCATTAAATCCAGAAAATGGTCCTCCCTAGCTGCAGGGGTTGGTTCCAGGATGTCACCCCACCCCATAAAATGGCATAGTATTGCACAGAACCTCTAGCTGTATATTTTAAATCATCTCTAGATAACTTCTAATACTAATGCAATGTGAGTTCTATTTAATTGTATTGTTTAGGAAATGACAAGGGGAATAAACAGTAAGGAGGCTGTAGCCGCTCACATTCCATGGGATTTCATATCCTTATCACAATTCTAGAAGGTGGATCTATTATTTTCTTCATTCAACATGGGGAAAGCAAAGTTTGGAGATTTGACTCACTCTCAAGTGCACCCTTCTAACCACGTGTCTCTCCTGCCCAGTTTTAAAATTGTTCTTGATTTGTTTTATGTAGCTTTTCTTTTTAAGATCATCATGAGAATCAAATTCAGGAGGAAAACAAACAAGAAACCTTGGTTCTGCCACTCAAACACAATGCACATGTCCTTGGTGATCTTGCTAGTAGTTGTTCCAGGAGAGAGATGGGGACAGACGCTAAACCGGATTGTGTTAATGACTGAGAGGTGAGGGGAGGAGAAAGCCGTGTGTGTTGACAATGTCACCAGGAGGTTTTTGGCTGTGACGAGGAGTTTGAGGAGACCCAGAGACTGGCAGTGTCTTGTCTGGGGTCACACAGCCGGCAGGCAGTAGGGTCAGGGCTGTTATGTCTCTGGCTACCCCACATCATGAATGATGTCACCCTGCAGCTGTGTGATGTTCAGTGGGATGGGGAGTGTGGGGACACATTGCAGGTGGCTGCCTGTGGGAGGCCTGTCATGACAGGGAGGGCTCATGAACATGTCTCTAGTTTCCAAAGACCCAGGATATTTGGAAGCAGGAGCCCAATGGCTCCGTCTTCAGGGATGAGGATCATGCTATCATCTCATTTAACAGCGGCGGGGACATGAGTGTCATCCTGTCTGTGGCTTCCCACGTGCACTGACATCCCATGAGGAGAGGCGGGAGGTGCCATGTCAGTCATTGCTGTCAGTGTCCCCAGGAATGTCCCTGCTATACGTCCCCAGCCTCCGTCTTCTTGAACACCCCTCTGGCCAACTGTGTGACTTTCTGGGGACACATGTCCCCTCTGAACACTGGGCACCCTGTGACCCAGGGAGAGCTGGCTGTCACGATGGCCTCCGGCCTTAGACTAAGCAGCTCCATTTTAAACCAAACCTGCAGTCTCACCAGGCAAGCCACCGAGCCCCCAGTATGTCACCCAGGCACAGCCTGATGAAAGCAAGTCACCTTCCACAGCCCTGGTAAGACTCAGAGGGAAGTCCCTGTCATTTGTCTCCGCGCTGATAAGAGTCAGAGGTGAGAGATCAGGTCACCAAGAAACCCGGGAACAGCTGATAGGGACTGAAAGGGTGGGCAGACGCTCCCAATTTTTAATATAAACATGGGAGCCAATGGACGGACATTAGAGCCGGCGACACTGATGCCCACAGGCAGGGGACCCTGAGGACGACCTGGACGGACATGCCAGCTCTCCTCACGCTCTGCCTGATCCTCTGCATCGTCCTCAAGCTCTACAGCAACCTCTTGACCCTGGTGAGGACAGCGACTGCTCCCAGGACAAGCCTCTATCGGTCCCTGTTGTGGTCACTGTGGCCTGAGTGCGCCTCGGCTGGACTGAAGGCCCCAGACTCCAGACTAACCCGAGCCTCACACTTGGCACGCGGAGGGAAGGCGTGTAACAGGTCGGTCCAGGTTAAGTGTGTTGACGGCGCTTAGCGTCGACCTAGAATTCTTGGCTGTGAATGGATCGTGCCTGTGGCAGTGCCCAGCATTAAGGACGGTCATTCTTTGGGGCTGAGGACAGAGCTCAGCTGGTAGGTCCCGGGTCCCATCCCCAGCACCACACACACACGGCCCTATAGCGTGGCATCGTGTTAAGTGACTTGAGTGGATACGCATTGAAAAGGGCAGAAGCTCGTGGACATTCTTTATCTGTCCCCTCGACTGCGGATGTCACACTTCTGCCCACTGGGACACTGGCCCAGGCCGTCCACCTGACATTATTTATTTTTTCTGGCTCTTTGACACTCTGGGTCCGTGGCGCAGGGCCCTGGCTGTCCTGGCTGCTGGCTCCGGGTGGCTGTGGCGGGAACTAGCTGATGAAGTACACCTTGGTGCAATCATAGTGGACACGGGTCATGTCCCTGGTGTCCCTTAGGGGCCACCATCGGTTAGGGTGGTGGACGGCCCGGTAGACTTGGGGCTTGTGTCGGACATGACTGAAGAGGGCCAGACTGCTCTCCTGGGCCACGGTGGGCAGGTAGAGCCGCAGCTTATCCAGCAGGTGACCCGGCCAGAAGGAATTCGGGTGAGTTGTGGGGGACCCACTGGGGCTCTTCTTCTTCAGCCTCCTGGGGAACAAGAGGACACAGGGAGGGCCGTCAAGGGGGACAGGCCGGGTGGACGTGGAGTGCCCCCAGGTTGGGTCAGCAACGAGCACCCAGAGGCCCACAGAGGCTGTCCTTTCCTGAAGGTCACACCTAAGCAGGTGGCTTGACCCCAGCCATGGACATTCTAGATTGTTCAGTGATTTACTTATGTGCTGAGGTGTCGGGCACAGGACCCAGGCCTCCTGCTGCCCAGGCCCGACCACCGAGCCGCACCCCCAGCCCCATGCAGGGTCATTTCAGGGTGGAGTTTGGGGTCCAGCCTCTGGGGCAGGGGTTCAAGTCCCCACTCGACCCTTTACTAGGACTTTGAGGAAGAGAGTCCACCTTTGTGGACATTGGTCTTCTCGTCTGTGATGTGCATATGCTGACAGCAGCGGCTTCGTGGGCTTGTGGAAAGGACTCAGATGAGTGAATCGTGGAACCTTCCAGAAGCAATGCCTGCCTGGGGCTCTCTAAGTGCTACTTCACTGTCCCTATGGTCCTGGGCACCGAGATCCCATGCTGTGCCAGGAGCCCTGGGCCTCGTGCAGAGGGGCCCAGCCCCAGGCCCCTGCCCTCCCACCAGGTAACAGAGCAAGGGACCAACCTGGCAAATTTCTCAAAGTCCGTGAAGCACATTTTCTTCGTTTTGAACGTTTTCCTACTGGAGGAGAGAGGGGGAGAGAGAGGGAGGCATTCTGTGAGGAGAGGGACATCCGGGCTAACGGGGAGCAGGCGTGGGGCTGTAAGGGGTGCACTCCTGAGGCTCAATCCAGGGGAACACGCTGGGGCTCGGCTCCCCAGACCTGGCCTTGCCCCTGGCCGGCTGGGTGACAGGGAAGTCCCATTCTCTCTCTCAGAATGCAGGACCCTTGGTGGTTCGTAGCTGCTGAATCTCAGTCCCTTTGGCCACCCCGACTCCGCCTGCCCCTGCCAGAGCCCAGGCCAGGTTTGTGGACAAGTGGCTAAAGCCTGAGCCTTCCCGCCTGGGCCAGAGACATCACTAACTGGTCACTGCGCTCTGTCCCACCAAGTCTCCATCCGGGGCCAGATGTCTTCCTGTGGTTTGTTTTCTAGGCGCTGGGGATGGAGCCCAGGGCCTGCGGCTTGCTGAGCACACACCTTACCTCTGAGCCACCCCCGCCCCTGCCCACAGAACCCTTTATAAACTAAGGAGCAAAGGCAGCCAGTGTCCCTCCTTGACCTGGGGGCTGCGCCTCATCCCTGACACCCGGGGCCCATCAATGGACAAAACTCCCTTTCCTTCCTGAGCCCCTGGGTAGGAACTGGGGCCAGCCACCTGGGGACTGAGAGGCAGCAGGGGTCCTGGAGGCCACCACTGCCCGGCTCACGCCTCGCTCTCCCCCCCCAGGCCTCCCTACAGCTCCGGAGACGCCTCTCGGGGCAGCGTGAAGCCACCTAGCACCCGTGACTGAGTGTGACCTGGGTAAGGACGGGGGTCTGTCCTGGAACCCTCGGGGTGTGGCAGGAGCTAATGTGCCCACTTTACAGATGGAGATGCTGAGGCGCCAGCAGAGAAGGTAGAAAGATGGGGATTCCACCCCCAGCAGCAGGGCGGGAAGGGAAGGCCCCAGCGCCCTGTGACTGGGAGAAGGTGACCCCCCTCAGGGTCTTTCTTGGCGACTTTGCGAGTGGGTGAGGCTGTGCTCAGGAGGAGACCAGGGAAGGGAGGTGAGGAGGCCGGGACTCGAAGACACGGTGATACTGGGGACTGGCCAGTCCAAGCGAGCCCATTAGGTGACACGGGCACCCAGTACCAGTACCCAGTCACCCAGTACCCAGTACCCAGGCCCTGTGGCTGAAGGGCTGGCAGCGGGGCCCGTGTCGAGGGCGAGAAGAAACAGATCTGGAAGGAAGCGGGCCCGACCTCTCGGCCCCAGACTTCTTGAAGCGCTTGAAGGGAGCCATTTTCGGGGTGATCTTCCAGTCAGAGTAGAAGCCTCCGGGCTGCCGGATGGGGCGCACCTGGCCCTTGTGGAAAATAATCTTGTCTCCAGGGTACAGCAGAGCTGCGAGCGGCAAGAGAGTCAGACAGGGCCATCAGGCCAAGATGGTCCCCCTAGCTAAGACTTTGGGGTCTGATGAGGCTTTAAAAATATATATATTTGTTCACATTTTTACTTAAAAGATGTTTTCTTTCTTTTTTTCTTTCTATTATGTATTTTATTTTACGTTTTTAGAGGTAACAGATGTCTACTACCTTGCTGGAGTTAGTGGTCATATGGGTATATGCACGAGTCCAAACTCACTGAATTGTATACACTAAGTGTGTGAAGCTTTGGTTTTGGTTTTTGATATATCAGTTATACCTCAAGAAATTGTTTAAAAAGAGCTGGACGTGGTGGCGCATGCCTGTCATCCCAGTGGCTTAGGAGGCTGAGGCGGGAGGATCGCGAGTTGGAGGCCAGCCTCAATAACTTAGAGAGGCCTTAAGCAACTCAGTGAGACAGGGGATAAAATATTTTATATTTTAAAATCTAAAAAACGGCTGGGGATGTGGCTCAGTGGTTGAGTGCCCCTGGGTTCAATCCCTGGGAAGAAGAGAAAGAAGGAGGAGGAGGAGGAGGGGGAGGGGTAGAGGGAGGAGGGGGAGGGGGAGGACAACATGAAGGAAAAGGAGAAGAAATAAGAATCCTCTTTCAGGCTTAGCTGCATGTTGGATCTCAGCCTCTGCTTTGGAGCATGTTCACAGTGACCGGCCCCGTGTGGGTCCCAGAGGGCAGCGGCCTGTGGCTCCTCCCCTGGGGGGCAGGTAAGTCCACTGCCCTCCAATCCCCCAGCAGGGAAGCTGCTCAGAGGGGGACCAGTTGTTCTTTTTTTTCTGTTTGTTCGTTTGTTTTCTCTCCCGTTAGGAGACACAGGATATTCTTAGCTAAATTATTCTGATTGCCTCTGACAGTTGAGTACATATCCAAAAATATTGATGGTGGGAGAGCGTGTGGGTGGCCAGGTTTCTGTAACTTGGGGAGCTGAGGAGCTGTGGAATCCCACTCCAGCTCTGGGCCTGGCTTGGCTTATTATGCCACTGTTTCTAGTTTCCTGGGCTGTTGTGGTTCGATTCTTTTCTTTTTTTTTAGATGCAAGCCGTCTTTTTGAATTTTGCTTTTACTAATGCAAACAACTTCTTATTTTTTTTTTTTTTAACCTTTGGTGCTGGGGATTGGCCTCAGGGTCTTGTGCATGCTCTCTGCTGGGCGAGTGCTCTACCACTGAGCTACACCCCCAGTCCCAGTCTGGCCTCTGACTGGGGATCCTACTGCCTCAGTTCCCCAGGTCATTGGGATCACAGGAATGTGCCACTGTGCCTGGCCAATCGTGTGTGTGTGTGTGTGTGTGTGTGTGTGTGTGTGTGTCACTGAACCCAGGACCTCATGTCTGCTAGGCATCTGCTCTACACCTGCAGACCCCAATATAACAACACATTGCTAGCCACAGTCACCCCACTACGTAATACAACCTCAGATCTCTGTCCTACACACATTATTTCACTTTCTATTTTTAAATGATAGTTCACCCCCAGATGGCAAAAAAACAGTGAACAAGGCTGGGGCTGGGGCTCAGTGGTAGAGCACTGGCCTAGCATGTGTGAGGCGCAGGGTTCGATCCTCAGCACCACATACAAATAAATAAGTAAAATAAGGGTATTGTGTCCATCTGCAACTAAAAATATATATTTTTTTAAAAAGTGCAGAGAGGGTTGAGCCCTCTCCAACTCCCTTCAGTGCTCATGGGGCATGTGGCTGTAATACATGATCAGGAAAGGGCCCTGTGTGGGCAGTGTGGCTCAATGGATAGGGAGGGGGATTGCTATATCAGGGTCAGCAAAGGCTGAGCCTGGCTGCACTGGGACAGCACAGGGGACAGTCGCAGGAGAAGCAGGAGGACTCCGCCAAGACTCATGAGGTTAATTAGATCTATTCTTAAGGCTTGACTTTGTCTCACAGATCTCCTTGGGAGAGTTTCTCTGATAAAGGCAGAACGTAAAAAATACTGGCCCAGGCTCAGTGGCAGAGTGTTTGCCTGGCAAGTGTGAGGCACTGGGTTCGATCCTCATCACCACATAAAAATAAATAAATGAAATAAAGATATTTTTAAAAAATACTGGCCCAGGGCCTCCCCCTTCCTGCCAGTGTTGAGCTGAGCTTGCCCTCAGACGGCAACATGTGAACACTTTATGTTCTAGAAAAAGCAACAGACGTTCCACTCTATACTGGTTCCTTGGGGAAGATGAGGAGGCTGAACTGTAAGAAGGTTTTGAAGAAAGGGAAGGGAAGATGTACAATATTAACATTTTCAAAAGGCACCCCTGATTTCTTTTCTCTCTCTCTCCCTCCCTGCACCCCTTTTTGGTTGGTACAGGGGCTGCAATCCAGAGGTGCCTGACCACTGAGCCACATCCCCAGCCCTTGTTATTTTTTGAGACAGGGTTTCACTAAGTTGCTTAGGGACTTGCTGAAATTTTCGAGGCTGGCCTCCAACTTGCGATCCTCCTGCCTCAGCCTCCTGAATTGGTGGGATTGCAGGTGTGCGCCACTGCACCCAGTTCCTTCATGTTTTTAAAGTGCAGAGACAGGGTCCTGCCTGCTCATTTCGTAAGTCATCAGGGAACGGGCGCCCCAGCTCTCCTCCCTCCTCCTGCCCAGCGCCTGCCCTGCAGGCCACAGTGGCTTGGCGGGGTGACTTCTATCTGGAGAAGGACAAGCCCTGGGTGATCGCCACCCTCACCCTGCCTAGGGAACATGGCAGCTTCCTGAGGGCCAGCTGCTGAGCCTCACCTCTCATGAGGATGTCCTCGGTCAGCGGGAGGCCGTAGGACTCACAGAGACTGCAGCACTGCAGGTAGACCAGAAAGACGTCCTTGCGGGCCTTGTTGATGAGCCCCTGCATGTCCCCAGGGATGGTGGACGGGAGGCAGTGAGCGTCAACCTGCTCCTTCCCAGGGTGCACCGGGTGAGAGTACTGGATGGAGGGGAGGAAGGGGGCACAGAGGGGGGCTCCCCTGTCTGTGTGCCCAGGACCTTCCTCCTGGCCCGAAGGCAGGAGGAGGGTCTTCTTCACCTCCCCCCAGAGGTCCCCAAGAGAGGGAATGGAAAAGCAGCTGTATTTCAGGTTCCAAGGACAGTGACCTTGGAGAAGAACCCCGCATGGTCAAGGTTACCCCTGAAGAGCCCTTGAGTTGGGCACACGGTTGTGTAACACGCATGGAAGGCCACGGTTAACAGACGCTCTCGAGGAGTTCTATTGAAAAATGGCTCAGGAGGCTGAGGCAGGAGGATCACCAAGTTCAAGGCCAGCCTCAGCAACTTAGGGAGGCCCTAGGCAACTTAGCGAGACCTTGCCTCAAAATTTTAAAAAGCGTAAAGGATGTAGCTTAGTGGTAAAGCACCTCTGGGTTAGGGACTTGCTAAGTTGTCAAGGCTGGCCTCCAACTTGTGATCCTCCTGCCTCGGCCTCCCAAGCCTCTGGGATTACAGGTGTGCACCAGCATGCCCACCTTCTTCTCCACAGTTTGCAAGGCAGGTATGGTTCTTATTACCCAGGTAAGGGGCGGTGGGGAGCTCAGGGAGGTGAAAACACCTCTTCCAAGGGTTCTTCCATCCAGCAGGGTGCAGGGTGCTTGAACCCAGCCTGGCCCTTCCCCAGTCCCCATGCCCCTCCCGAGCCTGGGGGTACCTTGTACTGGTGCTTCTTCTCGTAGTACCGCCTGTCCACCTCCTCCATCTCCTCCAGGGTCATGGGCCGTGCCTCTGTCTCCACGTCCACCTTGGGCACTGTCAGAAGATCCATCTTGGGAATGGTTGAGTCCTTTTGTTTACGGACAGAGCTCCTGAGGCAACTCTTCTCCTTATCCACGTCTAGTCGGAGAGAAGAGACAAGGAGGGAGGGACTGAGAGGCCGCTGGCCAGGGAAGCAGGCATCCAGTGACACTGAGCAGAGCCAAGTCAGCCCTCGGCTCCCGCGCCACGTATTTGGTCAGCGTCCATCTCAGACACGCCCCGTTGAATGTCCCTCCTTTCCCCCCTCATGGCCCCCTCATCCCCCTACTCCACCTCCCCAGTCTTCCTGGTGACATTCTCATCCTCTGTGGCCCTGTTTCCACCAGGTGGCTAATAGGACCTTTAAAAAAATAGAAACCATGCCATGTGCAGTGGCCCACGCCTGGCATCCCATAGCTTGGGAGGCTGAGGCAGGAGGATCGAAAGTTGGAGGCTGGCCTCAGCAAGTTAGTGAGGCCCTGAGCAACTTAGCAAGACCCTGTCTGTAAATAAAAAAATAAATAAATAAAAAGGGCTGGGGGTGGGGCTCAGGGGTTAAGGGCCTTGGGTTCAATCCCTGGTACCAAAACAGAAACCAAAAAACCAACCAAAACAAAAAAATCAAACCATAGCACCTCACTCCCCTGGCTTCTCACTGCGCTGGAGCCCAGAGCCTTTCTGACTGGACCACACGGCCCTCTTAGAATATGGCCTTGGCTTTGGCTGACCCAGTCCCGGCTGCTCGCCCCTCACCCACTTCCCATGGCCGCCCTGACTGCCCCTGTCCTCCAAGCCTCTCCTGCCCCAGGGCCTTTGCCTTGATGGTTCCATCTGCCTAGGACGCCTTCTCCTCAGACTGACCTGACGCTGGCTCCTCCATCCCTGGGTCAGCTTCAGGGCCTGCTTCTGGGACAGGTCTTCCCCGGCCACCACCCTCTGACTCTGTCCTACTGTCTTCAAGCCATGGTCACCTTGAGTAACCCTTGACTCGTCAGCTGTTGAAGGTAGGGGCTTTGGCTTGTTCACGGCTGTGTTCCCAGTTCCTAGAACCGTGCGTGGCACATAGTAGGTGCTCAGCAATATGAGAATAAACGGGAAAATCCTTTGCTCCTGCCCTGATTCTGCCCTCAGTGCCTTATGCTGACACGAAATCTGGGCCTTACTTCCTTCTGTTGAGACTGTGGACAGGTGGGCATCTAGAAATGCCAGCACGTCCTCCTGCACCAGGTGCCCAAACTCTTGCCTCTTCAGACAAAGCCAGGGACACCCAACTCCACCTACTTGCCCACTGACATTACTACTTTTTAAATTTTTTTTTTTTTTTTTTTTTTTTTGGTGGTGGTACTGGAAACTGAGCCCCTGAGCCACATTCCTGGCCCTATCTATTTATTTATTTAATTTTGAGACAGTCTCACTACATTGCCAAGCCTGGCCTCCACCTTGCCATCCTCCTGCCTCAGCCTCCCCAATCACTGGGATCAAAGATGGCTCATGACGACTGTGAGGATGCTCAGGTTCCCTGGGCTCTGACGGGATGGAGGCCCTGCTCAGGAGGGGACAGCCGCTCTGCAGGGCAGCTTGGGACTGGGAAAATAGGGATGGATGCTTGGGGGGAGCTCCCCCGGTACCAGCGAGGATACTGGGCACCCGATTTGGTGTGGCAAGGAGTTAGTCCTGTCCCAACTCTTCACCTATAGGAGGCGACCCTTCTGCTGCCCTTGGTAGGGCTCCTGCAGGTTGGATCTCAGGGAGGGTGAGGAGACTCCCCACAAACATGGAGGGGACTCTGGGGCCTCCTGCGCCGCGCTCGCCCCCAGGACGGGTGGGGTACGCACCGTCTCTTCTAGTGCGCAGGGTGCTCCTCTGCCGACTCAGAGACCACTGCTTGTAGCTGGTGGCCAGGTTGTCCATGGTGATGCTATTGTGCCTCCCCAGAGAGCTCAGATAGATCACGATGTCCTCCACCTCCTGGCCACTCAGAGGGACTCCGGCCTCAGGAGAGAAGAGGACACACGGGATCTGGCAGGCTCCCGTGCAAACACCCTGCCCTGCCAACCAAGGCCTGGCCAATCTGGTCCACCCTCCAGCTCCTCCCTTTTGGGTTTCTCTGCAGCCACTCCCCATGTCCCCGCCACAGGAGCCCAGAGCCCTTCACAGTTCCCTGCTCTCTGCCCGCAAACTTGTCTCCTCCTTCCAAGCCCAGGCCACATGCCGCCATCTTACAGAGCCAGGCCCTGGGATCCCACCCTTCCTTGTACCAGTCTCATTTACCAGGTGGGTAGGAAGCAGGGTTTCACCTTCTGTCATCCTTGTTGACAAAGGGCACCTAAGGCCCCCTTAACTGAAGTAAAATAGGACCAGAAACAGTATACACCTGATTCTTTTAAGGACAAGGAGCAACTTTGGAGGGATATAGTGCTTGCCAGCAATACGGAAGGTTCTAGAAGTTTTAAAGGAAATATAATTGTGCTCCTCAATGTCTTTAGATAATTGTCGTTGTCTACTGAAGTCACCTTAAATGGAGATCAGGACTCTCTGGGGACTAAAGGATTTAATATCTTGCCTTTTTGTTTATGGGGACTAAAGAGTCTCACTGAGCAACATCCCAGCCCCGACATGGGACTCCTGACCCCATGACACGTGACTGGCACGACTGGGGAATTGGACTTTTGATTTTATTTATTTATGATCGATTTACACCAGAGCCAGTCAGAGTGGAAACGGGGAGAAGGTGGTCTTGGGCCATCACAGAGGGTCTGAGTGAGAAGCAAGACCCGGATGTGATTCATACCCAGGACAGGTGGAGAAGGTTCTAGAAGGTTCAGGAAGCGGGACTGAAGGCCCAGCTCTCTCTGGGTTCAGTTCTGGGGTCTGATGGGCTGAGTTTCGGGTCCTGTGTAGGGTCTTTTAAGGTCACACTAGTGCAGGGGTGGGGTTTTTTTTAGTTGTCAATGGACTTTATTTATTTGTGGTGCTGAGGATCAACCCAGGGCCACACACATGCGAGGCCAGCTCTACCACTGAGCCCCAGCCCCTGCCCTCCCTGTGTCCACTTCTGAGCTGACCCAGAACCCGGGGAGAGGGCCCGAGGGGAGGTGCAGCCTCCTCCCACCCCCTGAGGCCCAGTCAGGAGTGGGGGCTGCTCACTGCCTTCAGAGTCACGATGAACTCCTCCCTGGAGATCCGCTGCCTCCAGTCCCCATCTGCCTTGTGAAACAGCTCCAGGACCTTGACCTTGTGGCTGCGCAGGAAGGAGTACATGTCTGACAGTGCGGGGGGCTTGGGCAGCCGGAGACGGGGCACCGATTTTGGAGAGGCTTTAACGGGTTTTACCTGGAAAAGGCCAGAGAGAGGGGCAGAGGGGGAGTTGAAAGGAGATGGACCCATGGGACGCAATCTCCAGGAAGACCGATGGGGGACAGAGGCTGAGCAGCTCTCAACAGAAGGACAGAAGATGGAGAGCAAAGGAGGATGCAGGGCATCTGTGTTTTGCTGCAGAACACATGGAGACTGCTTGTGTGAGCCTCGGTTTCCTCATCTGGAACAAGAGGCTTGGACAAGGAGCACTAAGATTTCCCTCATATGCACATCTCTCCCGTCATGAACACAGCCCCAGGCCCCAGGCAGGTAGGCAATACTTTTTGGGGGGAAGAAATAAAGGATGCTGTGAATTAGATATTTCTCTACTTACAGATGAGGAATCAGGCACAGAGAGGTAAAGTGATGTGCCCAAGGTCACACAGCAGCTACAGAGCTGCATTTGTAACCCAAGTCCAGTGTTTATTCATAGATACTGTGTTGCTGGGAGAAAAGTGTGGGTTAGACCCATGACATTAGGGCTTTGGCTATGATAATAGCAAGATTAACCCTGAAGTTTCTAGTCCAACCAACCCAAATAATACCAGGGAGACTGCAATAATAAGAAAAAATTTCAACCACTGTTTGAATGCTAAATATTTCTTGCTTTAAGTCACTTTGGGGCAACTTGTTATGGGGGGACAGTCACACCTCTCTTTCCGGACCTCTGTTTGTTCCCCTGTGAAATGGGTTGAAGCATCCCCCTCCCGACCAACCCAAGGGATGAAAAATGACAACGTATCCCTAAAAACTTCACCGTCGTCATCTGACACAGAGGACAGCTCACCATGGCGGCCTTGAAAGTACGCAAGGCGAGGTCCCTCCGGGCGTCAAGCTCTCTGTGGATCATGTGCAGCACCTTGGCTTCTGAAGGCGTGATACTGGGTTTGTTCTCCAGCCACCGCTTCACGTCACCGAAGGACTCTAGCTCCTCCCGGAGCCTCAGCCTGCGGGTCAGCCAGGTCTTCCTGTCCTCGGGCTGCCCTTGGATATCACCGTTTTCCAGGGCTTTGTAGCTGGGGACGGGTGGCGGGGGTGGCGTGGGCGGGAGGGTGGGATCCCTGGGCACCGGCTCCTGCCTCTGAGGCAGGATGATGATCCTCCGGCGGCTCTCGGGCAGTTGGAAGTCCTTCTGCTTGAACTGCCGGAAGCAGTGCTCAATGATGGGATCGGAATCAAACAGGTTGCTGACATTTTCCTCCAAATCTAACAGCTTATCCTGGTAGATCCCTTGGGAGAAAGTCAAAGAAAAGTTCCTTTTTATGGATTTTTTTTTTGATGTGATTGGCACTCACGATGGCAGGCACCAAGCTAAGGACTTTACCCACTTTCTCTAACGGACTCCTTTTCACCTCCAGCCCCCCGATTGATGCTCCCATTGGATATCAGAACGAACTTGGAAGAAGGAAAGTCTGATCTGATCCACTCATCTCAGGTACCACAGCACCTGTGGTAGCTTGAGTGCCTGGATCTGAGTCCTGGCCCTGCCCCTTCCTGGCTGCATGATCTTGGGCAAGTCACTTGACCTCTCTGGGCCTCACTTTCTACATCTGTAAAATGGGGATAATTAAAGTACAACCCTAGTGGGTGGTGGTGGTTTTTAGAATCGCACAGTTGATGAAAGCTGCTTTGTATGTGACCCGAGTTTCCCGTTCTGAGATTTGCTGTGTCCTCTGAAGGGCAGAAGAGTCCCTAAAGTCTCCCCCTGGCTGAGTACTTTTTATTACATGTTTTCTAGTCCAAATGTCACCCTGGTGCCTACCCACCACACCTTCCTCATAAAACTGCATCCTAAAGTTCCTTGGGGTCCTGTGTCCATCAATAGGAAAGCAAGATAGGCTGCCATGTGACAGAAGCTGCTGTCACATAGTCACAGGTGCAGACTGTGAACATGTTGCCTCTGGATTGAGGAGGAAAGCCCACAGAGGACCATTCCCTGCCCAGGTCTGAGACTCTAAAATGTCACTGGTAGACTTTGCTTCTTTTTGTACCCCCCTGGGGTACAAATGTCTCTGCATGACATTGTGAGTGTCTAATTGTGGCTTCTAGAAAGGACATCCTTAGATTGATCCAGAACTGGTTTCCCAGAAACTCCTACCCCTTGATCCTACTCCTCCTGATGGATGATCCAGAAAACACACTTGCTCCCATTTCTCTGGGAAAGTCTGTCTGGACATGAATGTGTTCATGAAATTTTCCTCTCTCTTGGCTTCTGATTCAAATCTCTGGCTAAGTCTCATGTCACCTCTCTGGCCACCGTTCTTGAGACCCTGTCTCCCTGCTCAGCCCTTAAATATCAGTGTTCTCTTCTTTTTTCAGAGAATCTCCTCTGCTCTCGTGTTTTGATGACCTTTGTGCCAAGGACACCCATACCAGTATTTATGATCTGAAACCAGCCCCTGTTCTATACATCCAGATGCTTCTAAGACATTTCATCTGGGTGGCTTCCAAGGATCTCAAGCTCAGGAGTTAGGTGACAACCAACCAAAAATGAATTTGTCTCCATGTCCCTGGGTCCAACTAGCCAGGTCCTCTGGGCTAGAGTGTGGCTCTTCTTCTCCTTCTGACTCGGGGAACTCCTTTTTTACCTTTAAGGCCTGGTGTAAAGATTTTTCTAGCAGCTTGGAACTGTTCCTCCAATGTCCCCTACATTCAGCAGATCTCTTACTCCTGAGGGACACCCCTGAACCCCGCATTCACCCCTTCTCATTCTGTAATTATCCATTTCTCTCTGTCCTTCTGAAGCTGCAGAGGTTTGCCAAGAATTTAGCGTGCGGTGACTGTCCTCAGAACCTTGAAGTCTGGAGGTGTCTTCCAAAGACTCGGCCAACCAGGCTGCGGCATGGATATCTCAGAAGTGCACATGACGAGGGGCCCTGACTCTCTGGAAACCCCTCACCCAGCAGGGACACGGCACAAAGAGATCTTGGTCTGTCGTCACCCTCACCCCCACTTCTACACGTCAGGGTGGGGGACCGAGGCTTCCTACAGCCGACATCCTGGAGGAAGTCAGCCTGGACTTACGCGACGGCTGCAGAAACAGACTCTGGTAGATCCTGAAGTAATAGTCCAGGGTCTGGCGTCTGGGATCCGGGGTGGGTGACAAAACGTCTGCGTTCATCGGGGCGTTGGCTCGTGGCAGGAGCCGGAGCTCCAGGAAACTCTCTCTTGGGTTTCGAGAAAGGCGCGCTCCTTTGCAAAGAGTAGCAACAACCCGTTGCCATGACACCCGGGGCCGGGAGCTGATTGGCCCAGAGCGCCCAGGTGGGAGGAGCGCGGGGCGTGGCCGCCCGCCTTCCCTCTCAGTCCCTGTCGCCCTGTCCTGGTCTGATCCTGAATTTGCAGGAAACCAATCGCGGGCTTCCCTGCAAACTAGGTCTGGGCAGACGTCCACGCCTTCAGTTCTCGGGTCTTCTCACCCAAACAAGAGGCCCTGCGAGCTCGGGGGTGTCTGAAGCACCCCTCAACACGGCGCGCTGGAGGCTGGGGGCCACTGCTGTGCGATTCCATTTATGCAGAAACCCAGGACAGGGGACCCAGCAGAGTGCCCACTCATCACTGCCAGGGTATGGGGGGCGGGCTAGGAATGACTGGCAACAGGTTGGGGCTTCTTTTAGGGTGATGGAAAGTTCTGGAATCATTGACGATTGGACAACCATGTAAATGTAGTAAAAACTACTGATTTTTTCTTTTCCTGTGCTGGGGATGAAACCCAGGGCCTTGCTCGGGCTGGGGAGGCACTCTGCTACTGGACTACCTCCCTGAAGTGGCTAGGTGATGGATTTTAGACATTTTACCCCCAAAAGGTAAAAACAAAGCCACTTCAGTGCAGTTTCTGTGCTGGGCACCATCTTTACTGGATTGCATTATCTCGGGGACCCTCAATGCCAGAGGCAGTCACGGTGGTGTTCCCTGGGGCCACCTGAAGAGCATTCTTGACAGGAGGCACCCTCTAAGCACTGGTTTGTGTGAACTTAATGATCACAATAACCACGTGAGGGAGGCGGTGCTATCCCATCTCAGAGATGAGGAAACAGGTCCCTAAGTCAGGCAACTCCACCTGCAAGAAAGGGGAAGGCCCGCCTGGAGCCTGGAGCCTGGGCAGCCCTTTGTGGTCCTGCAGAGCTCACCTCCGTGGCTCATGCTATCAGTAGGGACATGGGGGCGGGTCGGGATGTGTCATCAAGCCGCATGCAGCCCTATCTGATGCTGGTTTGGTGAGTATATCACACCCTCCGACCCTGACTGTGGCCCAAGGCTTCTGAGACCCTAGTACATCTTTAGCTGCCATTGATAGGGACAGACAGCTCTCCTCCCCTTCATTGCTGTCTGCCATTCTCTCTTCCTCCAGGATCTCCAGTCTTGTCTTCTTTGTCTCCTTCCCCGACAGAGGGTTTGCCTTTGTGGATGCTGTTCAGATGTGATGGGTTAGTATGGAGTGGACTTAGGATGTCCTGGGGAGGGGAAGGTGTGGCCGGTTTTCGTGTTCTCTGGTCAAAACCCAGCCTTCTCTAAAAACCACCCGTTGTTGGGGAGACGGACACACTGCATCGGATCTGCTCACACACCACGCTACAGGGCAGTTTCCCGAACAATTCATTCATTTTTCCTTTATTCAGTCAATTTAATTTTCAAATTAAACCTTGAAATGGCAATTGGTGATTAAGACTTCATAATTTAGGATTTGTATTTTTTTTGGGGGGGAGAGTTGGCGAGTTCTAAGGAAAACATTTCAGTATTTGAACTGTATTATTACAATATCTGTAATAAAAATGGCATAAAACATTGGCGGTCCCATGCTCCACACTGGAAGATGAGATGGGTGCTTACAAAGGGATCAAGGTAAAGGATGAGCTGACTTTCACATTAACAAAATGGACGTGGGGTGGGGGCAGACCTAGCATTCCTGAGAGCCAGTGTGGAGCTATCAAGAACACATGAAGGTCAGCACACACCTATGATCCCAGTGGCTCGGGAGGCAGGAGGCTCAAAAGTTCAAGGCCAGCCTCCGCAACTTAGTGAGGCCCTAAGCAACTCAGTGATGGGGATGTGGCTTGGTGGTTAAGTGCCCCTGGTTCAATCCCCAGTTTCTTTGGAGTTTAGCTTCATTTTTTAATAAAAATATTTTTTTCCCTCACTTCTGTGAGGAATTTCAGTGGTTGCTTCCATGGGATTACATTAATAAAAATATTTTTATTAATTACCTGTCTAATACACTCTAAAACTTTTTTCTGTTTTGTGTTTCATTTCTTTTTTTATTTTTTTTTTTTAGAGAGAATTTTTAATATTTATTTTTTTAGTTCTCGGCGGACACAACATCTTTGTTGGTATGTGGTGCTGAGGATCGAACCCGGGCCGCACGCATGCCAGGCGAGCACGCTACCGCTTGAGCCACATCCCCAGCCCTTGTGTTTCATTTCTTAAGACCTCCATTAAACACAACCAGTCACCTTTCCAGACATATAGTATTAGTCCAGCTGAGAACACAGTGTGTATTTGTGTTTTTTCTTCTTCTTTTAATTTTTTATAACTTTTTTTTAATTGTTGATGGATCTTTAGTTTATTTACATGCAGTGCCGAGAATCGAACCCAGTGCCTCACACTTGCTAGGCAAGTGCTCTACCACTGAGCTACAACCCTAGCCCTTCTTGTAATATTTTCTTTTAGTTGTCAATATACCTTTATTTTATTTATTTATATGTGGTGCTGAGAATCAAACCCAGTGCCTCACACATGTCAGGCAAGTGCTCTATACTGAGTTACAGCTCCAGCCCTTCTTTTCCTTTTGTGGTGCTGGGGATTGGACCCAGGGCCTCACACATGTGAGGTGAGCTCCCTACCACTGAGCTACATCCCCAGCCCCGGTGTGTAACATGTGAGCCAGCAGTGGATCTTGGCTGGTGGGTGTGCTACAAGAATTTTTGTTAAATGAAAATGTGATGGGACATTATGAAGTGGATGTTTATACTTATAAATTAGTTATAATGTAATTTTCAAATTATATTTTAAAATGGCAATTAAGACTTAATAACACCAATTAAAAAAAGGGGAAAAAAGAAATCTTAATCACCTATAGTCCTAAGGGCTTGTGAGGCTGAGGCAGGAGGATTACGAGTTTGAGGCCAGCCTCAGCAACTCAGCAAGGCCCTAAGCAACTCAGTGAGACCCTGTCGCTAAATAAAATGTAAAAAGGGTTGGGGATATGGCTCAATGTGAAGTGTCCCTGGGTACAATACCTGGTACCAATATAAAAAAAGAAAGACTTAATAATTAAGGATTTTTGTTTGGTAATTTCTTTCTAAAATAAATGTGTCAGTGTCTGAACTATAACATTACAATATCCGCAATAAGATGGGCACAGTGGCACATTCCTATAATCACAGTGACTTGGGAGGTTCACAAGTTCAAGGCCAGCCTCAGCAACTTAGAGACCCTATCTCCAAAATAAAAAATAAAAAGGGTTAAAAGGGTTGGGGATGATGGTCAGTGGTAAAGGACCTCTGGGATCAATCCCCAATGCCAAAAATAGTAATAATAAATTATTATTGTAATAGAAATGGCAAACTCTTTGATTCTTCCTAAGATAATTTTCAGTAACATCATTTTCTACAGAAAGAGAAAATCAAATCTTCCCTCTAGCTGGGTTGATGGAAATGTGCTTTGTATTATTGATGACCCAGAAAAGCATTTTTCGCTTTCACATTCCATTCCATTATTGGCAAAGTCATATACATTTTTAGGATTGTTATCAAATAATTTATTCTTTTTTTTAATAATCTCAAAATATGTTCTAGAACATTCAGTAATAAAGGGCCAATGGTACACCACACACTGAGAAAATACACACTGTGTTCCTAGATGGGCTAATTAAAATCATATTCCCGGAAAGGTAATTCCATTGCCTTTAATGGACTTCGTAAAAACTGAAGTGGGGGCTGCGGGTGGGTAGGGAAGGGGGGGCGGGGGTGCTGGCATGTGCAAGTCCCCAAGTTCCAGCCTTAGCACTGCAAAAAATAAAAGTCCCCCCTGCAAAAAACAAAAAAAAAACAAAAAAAACCCCAAACACACCCACTGTTTGCAAAACAGTGCACAAAAGACAAGTTTGGAAACTTCGAAGGGCTTTAAGACAGACTTAATTTTTCATGATTTTCCCAAAGCCAGTCATGGTATTTATTTAACTTGTGATCCTGGGGGTGCACCTGGAAAAAACACGACACATTAGGAGACAGGGGCCTGAGGTAAGCTAGTCATCAATACGTTTTCGTAAGATTGGCTTAGGAAGGTTTGGTGAGGATTAGTGCAGTATAATAATACACCTGTAATACAGGTAATAGGACTCACAGGTAAAATCATTAAGGTGACCCTGTTCAGTTTGCTAAGTGCTTTCTAGTTCAGTCCTGATTCAGCCCTGGAGGGTCGAGGTGGCAAGGACAAGTATCAGCACATTTTCTAGGAGGAGGTTCTAGAAGCTGAATGGACTGCTCAGGTCACAGTGGACTGCTCTAGTGCAGCAGGGATAAGACTGTGTCCTTCCAGCCCAGCTTGACCCGACCTTGCAGGGTGAATGCTTGAGGGCAAGTCACCAGTTGCCAGGACACTGTACCAGGCCACCCACCAGCTGCCATCAGGATACATTAGGGCTGAGTATACCCAACAGAAGGGGCAGCTGAAGGAGGACCCAGTTACCACCCAAAATGGTCTGAGACCACCACGAGAAACCCACAAGCAAACATTCTGGGCCCAACTGGCCTCCTCTTGTCAACACATAAACAGAGAAAGGCAGAAACAGGGTCAGAGCCATGCCCAAGGGTCTTTGGGGACTTGGGGAGTGTCTAATGACCCCCTCCCTGCTGCAGATGACCCCATGCCGCCAGCTCCCTTTGAGCTGGGTACAAATCTGGTCAGGACTGCAATAGCACTTGCATGTAATGAGTAGTTTGAGCCATAACCGTGGACGTTTTTTGCTTCTGGGACAAATGTGCAGGTTGGGCTAGGGCTGGGGGCGGGCCTCACCTGCTTCCACTCGTTGACGCAAAAAATCCTGTAAGAGTCGTTGCCATATTTGCCAATCCCATGAAGCTCGATCGGATATTTCCACTGCTTTGTCAGGTACTCATCTGAGAATACAACACCCCTCACATGAGCACGACTTTTAGGAAGCCACCTTCCATAAATGTGTGGTGACAGGGCGAGATGGAGAGTGTGGCGGAAAGGGACAGATAACCTTCAAATTCCTGCAGCACCTTTATGACTTCCTAGCCACTATTTTGTGCTGTGCTAACTCTACAGGGGTGACATCCTTAAGGACAGGGCTTTCTGATCCACTGACTTCTTCCCTACTTCTACCCACGTGGCCTGATGCTGCTGGACAAAGGTTTATTACCTGGGTTGGGGTGGAAGACGACAGTTTGGGGCAAGCAGGCTGTTCATAAATGCCATCAGTGCTTGGGCCCTAGTAGGGTAGCATCTGAAAACATCAATGTTCAAGGTGGCTCTATTTTTTTCCTTTGGGCCTAAGGAACACACCTGAGAACTTGATAATGGTTTTGGCTCGAAGATCGTAGAGACCAAGAGGCTTCAGCAGTTCCGACACATCTCTCCAGTCTGCTGTTCTTGCTACCTCAGCTGAAGGGTATTTCTCCAGAAATTCCCAAAGCACAGGAATTGCCATTTTTCCTGGGAAAAGGACATACCAGTGATTATGAGCAAGATGCTGGAAGGGCTTCTTTTAGGTTCAAGGAGTTTCTCATCTAGAAATCCCAAGCAAAGTTTTTGTTTGTTTAACTACTGACAAGAAGCTACTTTTTTACACTCAAATACCAACACTGCTATTTGGCCAATAAATAGTCCAAATTCCGCTGAAACTGGCCTTGTGTGATATTAGTTTTTAAATAATCAGATCACTAGGTAGCTAGTGGAGAATCACACAGGACACAGGGTGCATTCAATGACAAGAAAATGCTTTTATACAGGATACAGGGTGGAGAAATGCTCACTGGCTGATCTGCCCTGATGAGCAAACCTGGCGTGGAAGTAGGAAATATCTGACCTGCCCCTTGATGCTCAAAAGGCCACTGGATGTCATCTAGTCTTCCTCATGGGGGAAGAGTTTGAGGGCAGAAAGGGAAGACCTTAGGTGAGGTCACAGACTTGAAAGGGCCCTTGAACCCAGGCCTCCCGGAGCCTCAATTCACTGCTCTTTCTCCTGATCACATTGTTTCTAAGACACCAATGAGAAGGATCCACAAACCTGATGTCCGATTGAGAAATATCGTCGCGATGAGAAGCTTCCAGGGATCGTGGAAAAGTGTTTCTTGGACAAGGTTAAAAGGTGACCGAGGAGGGGTCCATTTCTTAAAGGCTTTGCGTCGTGGGGGGCTGAGAGCTAAAAGACACACTGCATCAGAGACGAGCACCCGACAGTGACTTAGAATATGACGTTTTCATTGGGGAATCGATACCTTCTCTGCTATACTTGCTGGAAAAATATAAGCTTGTCTTCCTTTTTTCTACCTGTGTCCGCGGGATGGTGGTGTCTTCTGAAAAGGCACAGTGGACAGAGAACACGGAATTACGGTTTAGCTTAAAGAGACAGTCAAGGATCAAATGATAATAATAATTCAGGCATTGTTCTGAGTACTTACATAAATTTTAACTAACTGAATCCTACTAATGACCTCTGAGCCAGGCACTATTTTAGCTCTACTTTACAGATAAGGAAATTGAGGCACAGAGAAGCTAAGTCAATTGTCCAGTGACACACAGCTAGCATCAGAACTCCAATTCAGAGGCAGGCACTCTGGCTCCCAAGTCCTTGACCAACAGTCACACTCATTTCCTAGGATTTCTGTTTAGAGCTTGGAGTATTGAAAAATTGGAAACAGTATGGAATATTTTAAATTATGACCCATTTATTCAATGTGGTCATCAAAATATAAAATCATATATTTTACATATTTTTCAATATAAAATATTTTTAATATAAAAATTATATATATTAACAAATACATGATTATTTTCTATTAACTTCTAAATGAAAAAAGCAAGATTCTACATATGATCCCAATTTCATAAAAACATATACGTATGTTTGCGCATACATAGCGAGACACTGACCCATGATGTCCCTGGATATAGGATGCCAGGACACCATGGGTTAAAAATGACATAAACCAGTTGAGCATGGTGGGCCAAGCCTTTAATCCAGCTACCTGAGAGGCTGAGGCAGGAGGACAGCGAGTTCAGGCTAGCCTCAGAACTGCCTCAAAATGAAAAAATAAAAATACAAAAATAAAAGACATAAACCAAAATGGCATAATGGCTATTGGTGAGTGGCCACTTTTCTTATTTTTAACAGTCCTATTTACTTACTTCCTCCACTCATACCCTCAAAATTTGAATTACAGTTAATAGTACCTTGCATATGAATAGCACGAAACCATCTTTCCCATTCTCGATTTAACTTACAATATTCTTGATGTGAAAAATGGGACTGGGAGGGCTATTATTTCTATTGTTCAGATGTAGAAATGGAGGCTCAGAAATGAAGCAGCTATCCCCAAATGATACTGGGACTGAGGATACTGGGACAAGTGTCCAGGTGTCCAGATTGGTCTAGTGTTTTCTGCTCTTCTATTTTGAGTAGATCAAACCCAGTAGAAAGAAAAAAAAAATTAAAAAAAAAAAAAAAAGGAACTGCTCTTACCAGTTAGTTACTTGCTAACGTTTTCTGTGGGTTTCTATAAATAATTACTAACTAGCCTCCTTTATAACTAGTTCACTTAGCAATTTCTAGCTCAACCAATAAGAAAATCTTTACTATTCCACTGGACACCTAGTAAGCTAAGGGTATTTCATCTTATTGAGAACCAAACTTACGGAATAGAATACTTTCATCTTAGTCATCCTTTTTAATATTTAATTTATCCATTATATTAGCAATAAATCTACATAAACCCCAATGCTGTCTTTTAAGATGCTCAGTCTTAAGGACAGACTGGACCCTCTGAGATTCCCAGGTATACACGGCCATCTTCTGTCACAGGGAGAGAAATCCCAGGTACAGAGGAGACATTGAATTATGGGGGGCTTCAGATCAGAAATCAAGTCCAGGGCTGGGGATGTGGCTCAAGCGGTAGCGCGCTCGCCTGGCATGCGTGCGGCCCGGGTTCGATCCTCAGCACCACATACCAACAAAGATGTTGTGTCCGCCGAGAACTAAAAAATAAATATTAAAAAATTCTCTCTCTCTCTCTCCTCTCTCACTCTCTCTTTTAAAAAAAAAAAAAAAAAAAAAAGAAATCAAGTCCAAGCCCCCACTCCACCAATTTGGCCCCCACAGGATTATTAGGTACGATTACTATTCTCCTTTAAGGGAGGTATTCATTATACCATAATGGCATAATGAATAACTAATACAGGGCTGCTCAGAAGATGTCCTTTTTATCAATTATTCACGGAGGTATTTTAAAAGCCAAACAGCTCAGCTCTGAACTCTCTATTAAGAGCATATGACGAATAATAGATGAACTATGTGATTATACTTCTGAATTATTTAGAACCCTTAGGCCTTTTAGAGAAGCACTACATTATAATAGAAGACAAAAGTGACCGTGGTATGTACGAAATTAAATTGCAAGTCGCACTTCAGTAGTAAGTAACAGGAGATGTGCGAAGACACTGGCTATTGTCAGTTGGCGAATAAGAGGAATCTTCTGAGAATTTTTCACAAGTGAAGTCTTTTAGTTTTCTTTCTAGTTTTAAGATGGCTGGCTGGAAAGGATGGGAAGAACATCAGTTAACAGGGTCTTAGGATGATCTGAAGAATAGATCTAAGATACAGCCCTGTTTCTTTGTCTAAACTGTGTCTTAACCATGGACAGACACGAAATATAAGATCTGGAAGTGGAGCCTCCTCAGCCCATGGCTAATAGCATTAAATGCACTGAATACCATGAAATATTTTCTCAGAAGTAAAACCTCTCTTGCCTTCTGAGCGTTTGCTGCCTGTTTCAAAGCCACATTTTAAAAGGTCCATATGCAAATGCTCCTTCCTCTGCCCCTCGTCTCCTTTCGATCTGTTTTCCTCTGAGTCTAAATCCGTCTCCCCACACTTCTTGTTGTGTTCTGCTTCTTTGGTTGAACATAATTTGTTTGGGGCGCCAGAAGTGATTTGTTCAGAGTGAACGTCTGATCCTGAATTGGGTGAGTCTTCTTTCACGGTGCTCTTGACTTTATCGGTCACACTGAGGGTCTTGTCGCTCACTCTGGAGTCAGAGATGCACAAAGTTCTGCCCAGCTCACTGTCTTGGGCGACAGGTTCTCTTTCAGCATCTGTCTGGTCGCACGGAGATTCTCCTTTGTCATTACTTTCAACAGAACCTGAAAGACTCTTTCTGCACCGTCTTTTGGTTTTCTTAATTGGAATTCCTTTCAAAATTGTCACCTTCCTTTTGGACTTGCTAACCTTACTGGAGTTACCATCATTACTACCCTCATCTTCTTCCAAAAGCCCCTGAATGGACTCAGGGCTGGACAGTCCCCTGCTGTCTTGCAGCTCTGAATTACTACTGGGCAGAGGAAACACTTTCTTCCACCTGCTTCGTGTCCTGAGGTTCCGGGTTGAAATGTGACTTTCATTCTGCAGTTGGGCTGTCGGAGCTGCAACATTGCTGTCTTTAGATCTTGACCTGATGCCCCTTTTGGAAAGTACAGTAAAATCAAAATCTTCTGGCTTAACAGAAGTCTCTCCATGTTTGTAAAGATAATTAGCAAGTGAACTTCTGGATCTGAACTTCAGTCCTTGAGGGCTAGAAAATGATATTAAAGGAAACTTACTACTAGCAAATAAAAGTGCCTATTTTTTTTTTTTTTTTTTTCCTTTTTTGGGATACTGAGGACTGAACCCAGGGCCTCAGGCATAAGCACTCTATCACTGAGCTTCAACCCCAGCCCTTTATAAAACTTTTATGAAGGGACAGGGTCTTGCTAAGCTGTCCAGCTGGTCTCAAACTGCCTCAGCCTCCTGAGAAGCTGGGATTACAGGTGTGTACTACCATACCCTATATCAGTATGAGTGACTTTTAAAAAAGAACTGAACCACATTTCAGATTTCTAATTGATAATTTCCTAATGTTGTCATAGGCATTTGTCATTTGAAAAGAAAAAAAAGAGTCACAAAGGGAATTTTCAAATGGTTTACTCTGTAACGGCACAAATAAATTCACAAACATAACTCAAATGCAACTGCACCATCAGTGTCATTCCCCGTGGAGGGACAAAATATATGCAACTGAGCTCAAATTACTTGATATAATTAACCAGTCACAGTGAACAAACAGAATCCATTGGTAAGATGGCAAAATTAGCAAGAAGCCAAGATTCCTCTATGTCTCCCCTCTACCTGTCTAGACAGAATTATCTGGCTGCACTATCTTTATTTACCACCTTGCATGCTCACCTGATAAAGTAGACATCAAATCTTCCTGCTGTTTTCCCTGATAATCTTTGTTTCACGACTCTTTCCCATCCACACGGGACAGGCTTATGGCACTCGGTCACTGCGGGGTCACCCAACGGAGAAGAGGCGATGGCTTCTTGTAGCAGGGGCTCACACTCGCTGATTCTTTTTACCGCTATTGGTCTTTCATCTTCTCCCACTCTTTCCCATCCCACAGCCACATCTTCCTCACTGGAAAAAACAAAGCACGAGTGATCAGCTCTTTACAATGAGAAGCTCCAGCTACTTGCTAGAAATTTTCTGGGTTAATCATTGCATAGACCTATTTTAAAGTTTTCTTTTTGGTACCAGGGATTAAACCCAGGGGCATTTAACCACTGAGCCACATCCCTAACCCCCCCCCCCTTTTTTTAAATGTTTTATTTAGAGACAGGGCCTTGCTAAGTTGCTTAGGGCCTCACTACATTGCTGAGGCTGGCTTTGAACTCGGGATCCTCCTGCCTCAGCCTCCTCAGCTGCTGGGATTATAGGTACGTGCCACTGCACCCAGCTATTATAAAGATTTCTGATGACACCTGACCTAAGTTGGAGAACAGGAATTAATAGCTGACTTGTTAACCAGTGATGACAAGGACTGCTTAAAGGAGTGAGTCAACCCCCCTCTTCTGCAAACAGGGGAAAATTTTACATAGATGTGTATTTTTCTGAGTAAGAGCCTCTATCATTTCCATCAGAGGTTGCAACCCTTTAAAAGGTTTCTGCCAAGAATTTTCAAATCTCCTTGATTCTTCATCTTCACAATAACCTTGTGAAGTACATAGGACAAGATTCACTCTCATTGTATTGATAAAACTGAGTGATAGAAGGTTAAAATACTGGCAGAACTGATACCAGAACCCAGACCTACTGTTTGGTCTAACACTTCTCTCCTGTACTATTATTGAAAAAGTTCAGCAAAGTGTATCTTAACCACTAAATGATACATTTTAAAAGAGATCATCTAATCCAACATCTTTTCTACAAACGGGGAAACTAAGAAAGAACTAGTGTTGTGTAATAAGTATTAGAATCAGAGTCTTCTGATGTAATTTAGGGTTAAATCCTTTTGGGGAGCTGTAGGAATCTTCTGGTAGCTTACTTAAGAGTTAAGGAAACTGAAACTTGGTGGAAAAGACTCAAATCTGTGAGTCCAAGAGCAGATCACTTAAGCTCCCAAAGATTTGTTTCTTCATTTGTAATATCATTGACAAGATTAAAAATTTGGGGGGGCTGGGATTGTGGCTCAGTGGTAGAGCACTCGCCTACCACGGGCAGGACCTGGGTTCCATCCTCAGCACCCCATAAAAATAAAGGCATTGCGTTGTGTCCATCTACACCTAAAAAATAAATATTTTAAAAAAATTTTTAAAAAATGTAGGCAAGAACTTTTAAAACCCACTTTTAAAACCCACTTTGGGGCTGCCCTGCTTACTGAACACATCTCCTCCATGATATTTGTAGGAGTTTCCAACCGAACTACACCTCTTTTTTGTTTTCTTTAGGGATTGAATCCAGAGATGCTTTACCACTGAGCAACATTCCCAAGCCCTGATTTGATTTTGAGACAGAGTCTCTAGATTGTGGAGGCTGGCCTCCACCTTGCGATCCTCCTCCCTCAGCCTCCGTGTGCCGCCGCGCTCTCTAAAAGTTCCACAAAAGTTCCCTGCTCCTCCCAGCTTTCTAGTCGCCACAGTAAAGAAAGTCTGGGACAACCCCAGGGCTCATCCTACAGGAGGAGCGACCTTCTCCCCGAGTTATTAACTAAGCCCAGGGGCCTCCAGGTCTTGGTCGACCCTCTGCCAAAGACCAGAGGGGCCCACAGACCGTCCACCCGCCGTTCCCATTTTACAGGAGGTGGAACTGCGGTTCGGAAGGGGAAAGAACTTGCCGGAGGTCACACTGCTGCTCTGGGCCTGGGAGGTCACTGGAGGCCATCGAGGGGGCGGGTCCGCCGTCCCCCAGGCTCGGCGTCTCCATCCAGGCTGAGCCAGTCAAGCGGGGCCCAGCTGCAGCGACAGGCAGAGACCTGCAACGGCCTGGGGGCGAAGCAGAGGAAGATGTGAAACCTCCTCCGATTCAAGGCACCGGGATGCCACCAAAGCGTTAAGGTAAGGTAAGTCTGTCACACTCCACAGCCGCTTTCCGACCGCCCCTTGGACCGCAGCCGCCATTTCTATGGCTCCGCCAATCAAATCCCTGGTCGAGGAGGACGCTCCGCCTCCTCACCCGCGCCGACCAATCGCGTACGCCGTAGCTATACTCCCGCCTTCCAAGTTCCGGTTTCATCGGCGCTTTCGCTCCTGTGCGCGCGCTCCCTTGTAGACATGCGCCCTCGGAGCTCTGCGGGCGCACGCGCGTAGGTGTTGTTGTGCGCATGTGCGTTGCCAGGGGTAGCGCAGGTAGCCGAAGTGGCCCGCGTAGCGGCGCCTGTTGCTGAGGCGGGGGTAGGAGGGGCCCCGAGGCGGGAGGAAAGCTGCGATGAGGTCCGTGCTGACGTGGAAAGAAAAAATCGATCAGTGGTGAGAAGCGGGGCAGTTGGGGAGGAGCGGGAGGCCGAGCCCGGGAGGGGATGGCGGGAGCCACTTAAGTGAGCCATCGCGGTTGCCAGGGGCAACGGGCCTGCGGCCTGGGCTGAGGGCGCTGAACCCCAGGTCCTTAAGGGCTTGCAAGGTTTTCCAACCCCCTTGGTGGGTGCAGAAACTGAGGCTTGGGGATGGGGCAGGGGGTTGTGGCCTGTGGAGGCGACTTTATACGTAACACGATCGGGGGTCTGAATCTTTGCTCAGAATCCGTCCAGGGCTCAGGTCGCACCTCCTACAGTTGAGGCTGGCCTCCCACTTGCCATCCTCCTGCCTGAGCCTCCCGAGTCGCTGGGATTTCAGTCGTGCAACACCGTGTCAACCCCCCCCCTCCTTGCCTAAATATGATTTTATATTTCCCCCAGAGACTTAATTGCTTCGTATATAAAAAAAAAATCAATATTATTTACTTTAAGAAAAATGTTCAACTTCAAGCAGGGAGAAACCACCGTGTTTGTAAGTGTAGCTGGATATCGTTGCTAGGGAACCTTTACACCTAAAACCTCGATTCACAAGTATGGGGAGAGAGAGCTACTTCAGATGGGCACAGAACCAAGATTTTCTCCTAATTAGAATTAAGTCCGGAAAAGAATCGAAAGAGTTTCTCCTTGTGATTCAGTGTTATTGAATACCCTTGTTCCATTTTTTTTTTTCTCACCTAAATCCATCTTCCAGAGGGTACATTTTGGCAAGCACTGACTGACTGGATAGTTCCCAGCAGCTCAGAATCTTTCTCGTATTTATCTGATTATATTTATTTATTTATTTATTTCAGTCTTGGGGATCAAATCCAGGGATACTTTGCCTGGACCAAAAGGACTACCCCTAGTCATTTTCTTTTCTTTTTTTTTGAGACAGGGTCTTGCTAAGTTGCCCAGGCTGGCCTTGAACTTGAGATCCTCCTCCCTTACCCCAGCTTCCCTAGTCACTGGGATTATAGACATGCACCCACCATGCCCAGCTCCCAAGTCCTTTTTAATTATTTGTGTGTGTGTGTGTGTGTGTGTGTGTGTGTGTGAGTGTGGGATAGGGTCTCACTAAATTGCCTGGACTAGTCTTGAACTTACAATCCTCCTACCTCAACCTCCCAAATAGCTTGAGATTACAGACATGCACTTCCAAGCCTGGCTTAAGCTTTCTATTTTTTTTGCAGTGCTGGGGACTGAACTCAGGGCTTCGTGCATACCTGATAAGCATGCGTACCGAGGTACATCCTCAGCATTAAGGTTTTTTTTTTTTTAACTTTTAATGGAAATTGAGTAAAAAGTCAAATTCTTTTTTTCTTTCTCCCCCTATCATAGAAGTACCCATTGCACAAGCTGGTGATAACTGGCAACTGAACATTTGGCTTCCGTGTCACAGAATAATCCGTGGTGACACAGACTGTGGCCACCTGAATTGCTCAGGCTCTACTGGGAAGGGGCAGCTGCGGCTGTGCTGCTGCCAATCATCACCCTGTAGTAACTTGGCCTCGGGTGCTCAGATCTCCCTGTTTTTACCAGAAGCTAGGAATCTGGGTTTTTTAATGTGCAATGCCCTAATTTTTCAATGTTGGCATCTAAAAGAAAAATACAAAGTAAAACACCATGTGGGCCAAACTAAACATTTGCTGGCCAAATGCAGCCTGATCTGCTCTATTTTCATCCCCTGGCACAGAACTGTCTCCCTTCATCTCTGTGGTACTTAGAGTCTGTCAAGCGCAAGAGTAAATTTTTTTTTTTTAAATCTATTTATCCCAGAAGCCCATAAACCCTTTAAAAGCAAGGGCTATGTCTTCATGCATTTGCACGTGATTTCAGAGCCTCGACAGGTCATTGGTGGTGGCAGTTTGGTGGATCGATATTTCGTGATTGAAGGAGCCAGGGAGTGAATGAGGATTGGCTGGCTGCTTCTCGGCCCATCACTGGTTGGAAGCGATTTATTCGAACAGCAGATCTGCAACAGGGGTGAGGCAGGAGGATCCCAAGTTCAAGGCCAGCCTCAGCAGCTCACAGAGACCCTGTCTCAAAATTAAAAAGTAAAAAATAAAAAGGGCCAGAGCTCAGTCGTAAAGTGCCCCTGGGTTAAATCCCCTGAACCAAATATATAAATGAATGAATGAAAAAATAAATCAGTAGTAGGTCTGGTGATTGTCAACCAGTGTAGGCAGCCAGATAGGCCAGCTGATAGCCCGGGTGGGTGGGTCAGGGGGCGACTGGGAAAGAGTAATAGAGGATCAAATTAAAAAATCTCACATGTCAAAGATCAGCCCTCCGTAGCTGAACCAGACACTGTCTCCTGATTTCCTTTGGCTCCTACCCCATCTTTCACGTAGTAGTTAGAAGTCTCTGTCTGTTATTCTTCATCTCATAAACCCAGTGTGACTCCTGTTAGCCAGGTGGTCCTTCTCACCCTCTTCTCCCCAATCTTGCTGAACATTTAAATGCCCGATGAACTTGCTTGTTCTCTCCCTTCAATGAGCTGATCTGGGTTCAGCTCAACCCTGGTGCTGTATTAGGCCAGCGCACCCCAATCTGGTGTCCCCTGGCCGTGTTTACTGAGCTCTGGTCGGCCAGCCGTGTTCACCTACATGATCTTGGTTCATCTGAACAGCCACCTGTGAATCGGTATCCCATTTGCAAATGAGATTTAATAAAGCCACATCCTTTGCCCCAGATTTCTAAGCAAATAAGGGGGGGCTGGGCTAGATTGCATATTGTTTGGAGAGGCCTCTTGGGACTTCAATTTTGCAGAGGGCTGGGGCAGGGCTGGCAGAGGACAGCCCTCAGGACTTGCCCTGTGTCTCTCTGCAGTGGAATCTGATGAGATCTCCCTTGTTCATCAAAGGGGACACGGGGAGAGAGCAGACGGCAGTGGGCGACCACATTTGAGGCAGAACGGCCACTTGGAGGGGATTGTTGTCCTGGAGGGGGCGTTAGACACCACCACAAAATCCTTTCCAATTCTGGGTTTCTGTGATCTCATGATGTAATGAAGGGATTCAAGATAAAGTTTTGTCAGTTGGTCAGAAACGTTCCTGATGTTTCTAGGACAATGCCACATACTTTGGGTCCACAAATGAACGCTCTAAAACATGATCGTTACCCTCAGATGGCATGTAATTAGACAGGATCAGATCTGAAACCCTGAAGATAAAGAAGACTCTGTGACTCGGAGTCAGGCTGAATTGGACAGATTGTACGTACAGTAAGAGTTTAGGCGGGGCCAATCCGTCTTCTGTATTATGCTTTAGGAAGGCCGATTTCAAGAGATTTCAGCACTGTGAATTTTTTTCACACTGTGAAGTTCAAGGTCAGCCCAAGGGAGACCCTGGAAGATGATTTGGTGATTCAACCCCAAATGCCTTAGGAGGAAGAGGCCACACAGGGATCATTCGATGAGCTCAGGTGACATGTGTCTGAGGCAGAGAAGAATCAGTGTGGAGGACGAGCCCATGTGGGAGGTCCCCTTTTCTGACCCCAACTCTGCTTTGATTTTTAATCTACTGTCCTGCAGCTCAGAATGTGAAGTGCACCAGGAACATTTCTCCTGGACTCAGAGAAAGTGTGACAAACAAGGGAGGCCCAGTCTGTTAGCCACAGACCAGAGAAGGAGCAAGCTACGGGACCCAGGGCCTGAGTTTGCTCCTACCCAGAGGATCCTCAGCTAAAAGGGTGTGGCAGTTCCTTTTTGGTACTGGGGATTGAACCTGGGGTGCTTAACCACCGAGCACATCCCCAGACATTGTTTACATTTTACTTAGAGACAGGGTCTGTCTGAGTTGCTCAGGGTCTTGCTAAATTGCTGAGGCTGGCCTCCAACTTGTGATCCTCCTGCCTCAGCCTCCTGAGCCACTGGGATTATAGGCATGTGCCACCACACCCAGCTGACAGTTAGTTTGCTACAGCTTCTCCCTCAGCTGTGACAGCACACGACAAGTTGTCTCTCTGTAATTTCATTTCCTCATCTACAAAAATAAACCAGCTCCTGTCCTGTTTACTCCATTATGTTAAAAGAATCAAGTGACATAATGTGAGCTCACTTCCCTTCTCACCTCCTGTCAAGGAAGCTTCTGGCTCGGTGGAGCCTACGCTGTATGGTCTCATTTATGGTAGAATCCGAATAGGTGGACTCATGGTAACCAGAGGAGGGGACAGCGAGGGACAGGGAAGGGGGGATGTTGATAAAGGTCACCAGGTGTCAGTTAGACTAGAAGAGTCAGTTTCAGTGGCTTATTCCGCTGCATGTCAACACTCATGTATGGTCTATTTCAAAAAGGCTGAAAGAATAGATTTTTAATATTCTTATTGCAAAAAGTGATAAGTTGTTCCTTGAGGGAATGGATATGTCAATCAGCTTTCTATAACGTATACCTAGATCAAAGCATCATGCAGGTGAATGCCAGGTGCCATGGCGCATGCTTGCAGTCCCAGCGACTGGGGAGGCTGAGGCAGGAGGATCTCAGGTTCAAGGCCAGCCTCCCAGCCTCAGCAACTTAGCAAGACCCTGTCTCAAGATAAAAATCTAAAGGCTGGGGATGTAGCTCAGTGATAGAGCCCCTGGGTACCAATAAATAAAGAGACAGATAAAACTTTAACTT